GATAACTTTACCTCATTAGCGCTCAACTCATGCTGCATCTCAATGAAGGATCTGCTTAAGAGTCTACAGTCTGAGCGTTCCTGTGAAGCTGCCCAGTTTCCCCTCAGGGAACCCTCCGAAGTTCATCTCATCTCATCCTTTTCTCCTAATTGTCGCTGCTGATCTTCTGTTGCCAAAGCGGAATAATTAAAGTGGGGTTTATTAATGAATGTTATCTTTGTCCTCAGGCATACATGGCAAGTCCAGGACAAATCCATGGCAAACAATGTGGCATACACTTCTGGGAAACTAAGCCTGCATACAGACTATCCTGCTTTACACTTTGCACCTGGGGTGAGTAAAATCGTTCTTAAATGGCGTTTAGAGGATTAAACAGGAATGGGATCGGTGATGAATCATGTCTTGGCATTTGGCCTTCATGACTTCAGAGGTTGGAAAGGAGCGTTTGCTCAGCATGTGTGCTTCGGACTGCTGTAGGTACAGTTCCTGCACTGCATTAACCAGGCGGAGGAAGGAGGGGAGAGCGAGGTGGTGGATGGCTTTCACATGGCCGAGCAGCTCCACAGAGAGGATCCAGAGGCCTTTCGGACGCTCACCTCACTCCGCATCGACTTCACAGACACCGGGACAGACTACTGTGACTTTATGCTACAGTCAAAGAACCGTATAATCGAGTAAGTTCTGTTAAAATGTCAGCTGTCTGTTTATCAATACACAGACATCTGATTTCACACAAAAGAAACAGCAAACTGTTCACCTTATGATGGTGTTCAGTTATTATATTCGGTGTGAGAACACTGCCCTCTGCTGTTCAGAATGATTCAAATATATATACACAGTAAAACTTTACATGTGCATTAGACAAAAACACAAAGCTTAGAAATATAACAGAATAGTGATAATCTACATTCCACATTAAATATAAAGTCCAATAGGCCGTAAAGATGTTTAAATTAATCACATCTGCTTTTTTTAAAATTTCCTGTTAAGCTAGAACTAAATAAAAATTGCTTCAGCTCTAAATACTAATATTTTGTCCTTCTGTATTTTCTGATCAGCGTTGACTCTGAGGGCAACATCTGCAAAATAAACTACAACAACGCCACCAGAGACTCTGTGCTGGACGTCCCCCTGCATCAGGTTCAACCCTTCTACAGGGCCCTGAAGGCCTATGTGGACATAATGAACAGACCAGAAAACGTGGTCACCTACCTCATGGAGCCAGGTCAGGTGGTCGCCTTGGAAACCAGAACTAGGAAAGAAAAATATACTCTGCCTCACATTGCTATTATTTATTTATTGAACTAAAACACAGTAAAAGTAGAATAAAAGACAAAACTGTCTGCATTTCCATATTTCACAGCTAAAAACCTAAAACTGCTACTATTGGGCTTAAATTCTCCTGAAGAATGTGTTTTCAGGCCAGTTTACATGTTTCCTTTAATTAAGTCTAAATATCTTGCAGAAAAAATTCACACAGTGAACACTGAATAAACCAACAGATACAGGTTTAAATGACTCAATGACTTCAGCTCTTAATATTTATAAAAATGAAGGTAAAACCAGTATTCTGCCTTGTTTGTGACACATTAAGGCCCAGGAAGTTATTGAGTGAACAGAGATAAGGCCTGATTCTGAATCCTGAAGGAAAACCAGGTCCGGATCATAGCCACCATCCTGAGATCTGTTGCAGCTATTGGTGTGCATTATAAAAACAAAATGGAGGCAGGAGACAGCCTAGTAATGAGACTGGAGCTAGATATTTACACGAACCACCTGGACGGTAAAGCACACTTGACATGTCTCCAACAGCTTTATACATCTAGACAAAGGCTAAGTAAAAGGATGATAATGAATGATCAACAAATTTAAAAATATTTCCACCAGGTTTCATTATAGATTTATGCCTGGGTTTTAAAGGACAAATGTGCTTTAATATGTTTCTGGCTTCATTTTTAGGGTTATTGAGTTTATAAAAAGTAACAATCCAGTCAAGCCTTGTGAAAATTCCCTCACCAGATTTTCTTCTAGGATGACTTTATATTAATCTTTACCTAATATTTGAACATCTCTGCTGCTGCTACAGTGGCGCAGTGCTGCCACTAACAGGGCATTTTTCAAGGTGATCCAGAGCTTCTTCATACACACATCTGCTAAAGATGAACTTTTCATGGTCACCTTCTTGACACTCTTCAACGGAGGCCTGATTTGTAGAACATGCAACCATGCAATGTCTGTCATGTTTTTCCACCAGTGCTGAGAAAAAAAAAACTATGAGATTAAATTTTACACACACACTTTATTTATTTTTTGGTGTCACTCTCAGATTATTTAAAAACTATTAACCTGCATTCATCCCTTTCCTTGCGGTTCAGTTATGCATATTTGTTTTGTTCCATCAGTAAAAAATTTTGTGGTTGTAACGTGACAAGATTAGAAAAGGGTTATGATGCATTTTGATGTGGTATAGTGTCAAGAAATAGATCACAAGGTGCTTTACAGAAGAAAACTAAACAATAGTTAATCAAAAGCAATTAAAATTGATGACTTTTTAGTTGCTTTACTATGTTGAAACGTAAAGATTTCAGTGAGGAGGATGTTTGTCAGCAGGATTCTTCAGCCTGTTGTAAACATGCTGATGGGCGTTTTTGTCATCATTAAGGTGGTAGTGACATTAAAACTTCACTGCTATCTTTGTCACTGTCGGCCAAATCAAGTTACCAATGTCTAGTGAAAGCCATGAAATGCATCTGCTGCTCCTAACGGCTGAGGTTCGGGACATTTATGTGGAGCAGGATGGATCTGCTGCTTCCCACTGTGTTATTTCAAGCTGTAAACATCCAGCCCATCAGTAACCGTGTCCTCTCTGCAGTCACTGAAGGACATCCTCCAAAGAATGATAATGGATAAAAACCTGATTTGTTTCTGTGGTATTTCAGATCGACAGCAAAAGCTCCCATGTCTGATCTTGAGTGTTTTATTTCAGGAGACATCGTGACCTTTGACAACTGGCGTCTGCTGCACAGCAGGAAGAGCTACGTGAGCAGACCAGACAGGCTGCGACACTTGGAGGGGGCCTACCTGGACTGGGACGAGGTGATGTCTCGTCTCCGAATTCTCCGCAGAAATGTCCACGGGGACGTTTGAGCCTTGGACAAAAGGTCACATTTATATAGGAAGCCTTAAAGCCTCAAATTAATCTGAAACTGCAACTTAAGCCACATATGGGTCTTAAAAAGTGCTTTAAATGTTGACAGAATCGAGATGTAACGAATTAGACGGCAAGCTAAAAGGAAAGTCTCCAACTTTGAACTTTATGCAACACAACAATGCAAAGATGAATCGGCCTAGTTAAGAGATTTAAAAGGTGCTTTTTCATTTTAGATTAAATGCATGTTTTAATATCCTTTGGGTACTTTGCAAGTATCATTACTAATTTATTTTTTATATCATTCCCTTTTCTTTACAAAGTATATCTGGCTCAAAATCTATTTTTATAAATATTACTTTTGTGCATTATTTTTGCTAAAGATAAATAAGTTAAACCATACCTTAGTTTTTTTTTTTTTTTAACTAAACAAAAGTTTGACAAAAAGGAAATGGACATTTTTAGCACTGTGCCTTTTTTTGAACATTTTAGGTCCCCTTTACAACTTTAATTGCAAAAGTAAATCTTAAAAGCAGTTTTTGGTGATCTTTTATATAGAAGAAAAGGCTCTTACCCATCAAAACAATCACTTATTCAGATTTGTTTAACATAAGTAGATTACATAATGTAAAAATGATTGTTCTCTTCACCAAATAAATTCAGGAAAAGATGAGAAAAAAGTGCAGGGAGTAAGCAGGCTGGATGAAGAGACCAAAGATCTATTAAGCATGTCGATAAGCCATTCAGGTGGCTGTAAAAAAAAAAAAAAAAACAGAACATCTAAATGCCTGCAGGCCTCATTTGTCTCAGGTGACAGTCGGAGGTCATGGTCCAGTAGAGACTGCGGAAAATAGTAAAATCAATGGGAAGTTTCCAAGGTTAAGGCTTACCAAAAAACAACAAAAGCATTCCTGAAAATCTTAATGATCTCAAAAACTTCCCAAAAAGGGAAAATATTTTGAATTGTGAAGAGATGTGGATATTTAGGAAGATTGGCCTCCAGGTCTTGTGACTCTGAAACAGGGTGGTGGTGGTATGATGGGCAGGATCTGCTTTAATATAGGAAATACTTTCCTGAAGGAAATTGCCTCAGAAGTTCATGACCTTAAGCTTAAGAAAAGGACAGGGACCCAAAGCACAGCAGCAAATTCAACTCCAAATGACTAAAGAGTGGCCTGGACTTGAAACTAATAAAAAAATGTGCTATTGCATAAAGAGACCTTGTGTCCCCAAACTCTGATGTTCTTGAATTAAAAACCATCCAGCAAAGAAGCAGGAGGCAAAATTCTCCAGAGATGTGAAAATCCACTCGATGCCGTTTTGTTCCAAAAAGGGAAGCAGAACCTTTAGGGGGCCGATACTTCATGATGGACCTGGAGGGTTTGGATTTATTTTTTTTTCCACTTTTGACACAAAAACTGCTTTTCCTATTTACTTATGTCACCTTTATCTTCTATTGAAATTAAAAGGCACATCAGCAGATCTTTTGAAAGGCTTTGCAGGCCAGTATGGTTACAAATGGGATATTTTCACAGCATTATTACATTAAGTCATTTAATCTTAGATGTGAACTTTATTTTGTCACAAAAATGTACATTTCTGCCTGTTAAGAGATTTATCTAGAAGATTTTTTTTTTATTTACATGAAAACCTACATAAGAAAACATTTCCACAGAAGTTAATCTTTAATAAGTTGGTTTCACTGCATGTAGAGCAGCTCAGGTCTCTGCTGTCTCTTTTAACCTCGTGTTCAGGGTCAAGTTGAACAACCATGCTTCAATTTCCTGCAATAAATCTTTGAAAAAAAAAAATTTAAAACCTTGTCTTTTGTTCAAGAAAAAAAAAATCAATAATCATTTAGGACAACTTTATTATATTGCCAAAGCTGTACATAATCTATAAATACATTTTTTCTCCTTAAATACTGGAAAGCTTACAGCTGGCATCTCTTTACTTCTTCCCTCCATTGACAGCAGCCAGTGAGCACAGTAACAGAGATGAGCTGTAATATTCCAGGAAAAAAAAACAAAAAACATTTTTTTTATTTTTTAGCTTAAGCAGAACGTTCAGATCCATTGTAGAGATGGTACAGCATCTTCTCAAAGTCCTTCTGAAAGTTCTTCTTTGCACATTTAGGTTACTAAAAATACAGGCATGTCAGGATCAAAATAAAACTCTTCCAGTGAATTTACCATAGCAATATATTGCTGATAGGAGACTGTTCACCACATGACCACACATGCGCTCACACACACACACACACACACTGTGGGTTTAGCTTGGACCTGTTTTTAACACTAGGAACAAACAAAGATCAAATGATCTCAGCCATGATTAGTTTGTCTGCTCTGAAACTTTCTAAGGGTCAAACACAGGAGAGAAATACGTTTTTTTTAACCTCTTTAAAGAGCTCGTAAGAGTGATGTCTTTTTTTTTTTTTTTTTAGAAGAAGAAACCGTAACATATGTTTCTGCATAAACTTTAGCGCCTAAGTTTGCTCTTCAGTTTTTATACATTTGCATTTATTATCCTACCTGGTAAAAAAAGTTAACTAAATGACATGAGGCTGCAAACATTTAGCATTTCATGCTAAGCATGAAATTATATTTCTGTACCTGAAAAGCAACCTAAGAGGATCAACCAACTAAACAGGAAGACAAAGCTTTGACGGCTCAGGATCAATTTAGCCTCTCGCTAATTTACACGTCCGTTTCGTTCTGATGCACTGTGGCACTTCCTTTATGAATAGTGCTTCAGGCCACAAGCTGAAACGCACTGGACAGCTAATAAAGCTGATTCCCTGCACAACAAGCTTTGATGGGGCTTTCAACCGACTGCGGCCCGTTAACATGCGAGCAAATTTATTTTACCAGACACCCTGAGAATAACCCAATATTGTGTTGTTGATCTAAACAAATACTGATTTAAGGAAACAGAACTTTAAACCCTTCATTCACCTAATGCTGATCTATGAGACGATGTTAAGAGATCCCCATCTGCATGCTTTCTTCCAGGAATATCAAAAAAAAAAAAAAAACAGCCCCTTTACCTCTAGGTTTAACAGAGTACGGCTGAGATGCTGTTTAACAATCATCAGTCAGAGCAGGTATGAAATGTATGAGTTGAAGAAAGAAACAAGCAAACATATAAAGGTATAACATGGAAAAAAAAAATAACTTCCTCTGCCTGCCTAGTACATTAAAACCATCTGCCTGTTGATGCTTAATGGAAGAAATTGTCATGAAATTCTCAGTTTAAGTGATGCTTCCTAAAGATGATTTTATTTGTTCACGAAAACAAAACAAAAATCTAACATTCAGTTGCTAAATATCACTTTGCAAATTCTTTAATTTAGGTAGAAATTGTTCAAGTAGAGCAGCAGCAGTCTGAGCCTCCAACCACAGTCAGTCTGTATGTTACTCATACATGTATCAGCCAGGGTTCATGGCTGTGCTTGTAGAGATTTGCTTCAGACACAGAACTGACCAGCCTCCTCCAATAACTGCAGGCGATTCTAATCTAAGTGATGAACATCAGAAAATCTTGTTAGTTTCTGTCTTGTGATTGACCCGTGATGAAGCGGAACACGATGACCAGTCATAACACACTGAATATTCAGCAAATCCACACTATAGAAAAAGAAACTCTTACATTCTTCACCCTGTGGAGCCAAGAGAACCTGGCTCTGGCAATGGCTAACTACTTCTTAAGTATTGCACATCTAGCAAATCAACATTTTGTAACTTTTTTTCCAGAAAATTTACACTCAATAAATGCATATATTAAATAAATACTATATATATATATAAATATATATAATATTTATTCCATCTTTATAGTAACATGCAGTTAATACCAGAGGAGCACAGACGAGAAGTTTTACAGCAGAACTAGAACAGTGATTCAGCCTGGTGGAGCAGAGGACACATCTGAGAACACCTGAAGTATTTTAGGACCAAACAGCATTAAGGAGAGTTTACATGCGGTGCTCTGGTGCTTTTCACTGCACTAACAGGGTCTCTGGATGCTTCACCAGTTTCAACTTGGACAAACTGGAACTTTACAGTAATCACGTATCACAGAATTACACAGAACTGTATGGAGACGAGCGGTGGGGTGGGGGGTTAGCTTCACTGCTGTAGCACAGGACCTGCATGCAGTCTGTGGCTCGGGCTAATCCCTCACCTCTGCACTACATGGGTCACTGAGGCTTCCACACAGAGCCCAGTCACTTCTCCAGATCCAAACAGGGCAAGCACACGGTAACTAGCTGGGCTGGAACATCGGGACAACAACCATGAGTTTTAGGACTTATTTACACAACATCACAGACTGGACATGTCTACACCGGTGGATCTAAAAAGGATCACAGGATTCTATTTACACAGGAGGGGAGAGCAGGAACTGTGTGCTTCGAGTTAAACAAGGGATTGTCAAAAATCTGGTTAAAGAGCAGAGATGCCATTTCAAGTAGAGAGGCACGGAAAGGGTGTAGAGGAGCGGGGGGGTTGCCGGGGGTGAAGACTAGCTGGGAAGGGGTCTTGGTGACAGCAGCTTGGGTTTTCCTTCCGCCTCCTTCCCCTTCACAGCCGCCACGTAGGAGAAAAGGCAGAGGACAGAGTAACAGATCTGATGTGCCTGCAGAGGGGGAGGGGGGGGCAGAGGTGAGGTCACACGGCTATAAAACTTCATATTAAACTAAATTCCACAAGTTAAACAGAAACTGAATTTACAATAGATTATTTATGGTTCCATCACAGTGATAAAAAGCATTACAGCAGGTTTAAGATCTCAGTTTTTATGAAAAGTAAGAAAAAAATAAAAACTTCAAATGTAAAATTTTGCATTGAAAATATTTTATTTGACTAAATATCAAGTCCTTTAAAATTTAAAAACCCAGTCAATTAGATGACAAAAAATATATAGTGCAAAATGAACTTTGTTGGGGGCATTAGCCTTTGTAAAATGTCTAAAACTTCATATAAATGTTCCTCATGGTCGTTCAGCCCTATTTGATCAGTTTGCTCTACTTGGCAGCTGATTTTTTCTCTTCATGATGAGCTGTCTAGAGGTCTGGAATGACAACAGCCCAATGTATTAAACCCACCTGGGCGACCTGCCATGTTAGGAACACACCGAGGATGTGATCATTCAAAAACATCTTTCAAACTAGCCGAGGAGGAAAGCTTTCAGCGGGATTTGGTTGTAATTTCTATACAGCAGTTGTGAATCAGCACAGGAATGTTGCACTTTAGTCTGGACAGCTTTGAGGAAAACAAAGCATCTCTCTTCCATCTTGGAAAAACCGCACCAGAAAATAATAAATATTTCAGGATAAATTAATATTGTGCCGTGCAAAAGGAAATATTTCATAATATATATGCCTAGAGTTGATTTGTATATAAAAAATAAAAAAAAATCACGATACAGGAGCTTTAAACCTTGAGCAAAGCTTCACAAGTTTGAGGGAAAAAATGTAATAAGGCTTTTTATGGACCGGAGGAAGAGAGTTACTGATGTTCTTTAAATTGGAAAAAAGTTTCAAGGCCATCTTGGAGTCTTTATCCAACAAAGTCATGATCAGGCAGGTCAGGGACAAACATAAAAAATAAAAGTGAAACTTCCTCTTAGGGCTCTGACAGCAAAGATTGCATACAGAGAGACTTTCTCCCTGAACTCATTGGAGAACAGGAGCAGAAAGCTAAGCAATAAAAAAAAAAAATTATCTCATTAGCTTTACATGTTCATCTACTGTTGAAGGTATTGAGAATTATGATCGAAGTAAACTTAAGTGTTTGACTTTAAAAGCAGGAACAATAACAGCATAAGAACCTCTGATGTTTGTAGTGTTCAGGAATTACTCTGAATTTTTTGTTTTTACTGAATCTGGCAAATGTTCAAATGTGTATCTGATTCTAAAGAGCACAAGTTAACACAAATTATAAAAAGCTTTTATTACTCATAGGTACGACATGATGCTAAAATATTCACACCCCTTGAGCTTTTGTTGTTGTAGATTGATAAAAACTAAATGTACTTTCTCCAAGTATAGTACCTGATGTCTAGATGATACTAGAACTTAGTTACTTTTACCTTAAAACAAATTTCAATAATGTCACCATCTATTTTTTGGGATGTTTCAGGGCCTTTGATTTTAGAAGAAAACCTTGAAACGTCAAAGCGTTGCTGTTTAATTGTACTACTCACTAAACAATTTAGAATTCCTTTTAAATTTCTTACTACTGTACAAAAATACATTATTACTGAAGGACAGGCTGTGAATTTATAAGAAAGCAATGGTTATTAAAAAGATTTAAAATATATGAAACTGTAGTAAAAGTTTGAACTTTTTCCTAATTAAATAGAAGCATGACATGATGCAGTTTAAATAAAAAGGAGTACAGCCTAACTTTAAAGGAATAGTACACCCAAAACATGATTAGCCTTCATTTTCTACTCACCCCCATGCTGAACAAAACTCTGGAGTACTTTTTTGATATCTCAAATGAATCTGGAGATCTGGGAGGCTTCTTGCTGTCTGCTGACATTCAAATAATGGAGGTCTATGGCGCCCGAGACAGAAAGGTCCATAAAAGTCCACAAAAAACGTGTCAATATTCCTCCATACTGCTCGTCCAATGTATTCCAAGTGTCCTGAGTGGGTAGCATCCAGAATTTACTCGAAACGAAGTCATTTAGAACGTTTTAGAGCCTAAACAGTAGTGTATAGGATTTCCTAATAGCGCCCCCATGCGCGCTCACGATTCTACGGAAGCCGGCAGACCAAACCAGCGCATTCAGCTCGGCAAAGAACTCATGCTCTTCCTCAACACTGAAGTCCTCAGACATTTTTCTTTCGTTGTTTCTTTCTTTGCACAAGTAAACAGCACATTTCTTCTTCTACGCTTGCATTATCGGCAGAGCAGACGCTGAATGCGCACTTTCATCTGGTTTGGTCTGCCGGCTTCCGTAGAATCGTGAGCGCGCATGGGGGCGCTATTAGGAAATCCTATACACTACTGTTTAGGCTCTAAAACGTTCTAAATGACTTCGTTTCGAGTAAATTCTGGATGCTACCCACTCAGGACACTTGGAATACATTGGACGAGCAGTATGGAGGAATATTGACACATTTTTGTGGACTTTTCTGTCTCGGGCGCCATAGACCTCCATTATTTGAATGTCAGCAGACAGCAAGAAGCCTCCCAGATCTCCAAATGAATTTGAGATATCAAAAAAGTACTCCAGAGTTTTGTTCAGCATGGGGGTGAGTAGAAAATGAAGGCTAATCATGTTTTGGGTGTACTATTCCTTTAATGTTTAACTCCATCTTTTAATGGGACAAAACTGAATCTGTGACACTTCGGTTCAATGTAGTCAGTTTAAAGCTTGTCCGACGGTGGAAGTTTAATCTTCTCTCAGAATAACCAATCACCACTTTCATGTCTAAATCTCTGGCAATAAAAGTGAGCTTAGAACTTGGTTAGAATGTCCAAACTGTCCAATTAGCCATTTCCCTTTGGTTCCTCAGCCCTCTGGTATGAATAAACTGATGGTATTAGGCATGTATGGAAGAAACTAAGGTTTGGCAATGAGACGAATCTATCGACCACTGATGATAGACCAAGTCCTTAAAGTTTGTTATTTTTAAAGGGTGATTTTTATTCCTGTTTTATTTTAGACCTACGGGTTAAGACGCAGCCCATAAAAAAGAAAAGAATTCAGTTTTTAATGGTACTGTACACAGAAACTTTCAGCTGCATCTTTCACCCCAGTGGCACGATGCAGCAGTGAGAGGCAGTTTTTTTAAGTACATTTAAAGGCCACTCTGTCTGTTATGGATTTTATTTTATGACAACAAATTAAAAAGAATATATATTAAATAAAAAAACTAATTATAAAGGAAAATCCTCCCTGCAGTGAAGCAGTGCGTTTTTCATAAAAAAAGAAAAAAATGTCCTCCTCAGTTTTCCGTCTCTTTGATTTTGCACATTCAGCTGAACGGATTGAAAACGATCAAGAACTATAATGTCTCATAAGACAGTCAGAAGAACTAGATAAGAGGGAACTATAGCCACTGGACGAAACATATATATTGATAAGAAAACTAGTATTTTTTACCTTATTGGGTTTTAGCGATGTGCGCAGGAGCTTAACAATATTACTAGCGGTGCAGAAGAGGAGCTTTGAAGCGGTGCTTGTCTACTCACAAAGTCACCTGCATGAATATATCGTCCATCGCCCTTTGTTGGACTGACATATATTGGCATGAACATTAATATTGCCAAACCTTAGTGGAAATCAGGTGGAGTACTAGTACAAATGTGTCTTGCCAACCATTAAGCATGGTGGTGGCAGTGTTATGGGCTATGGGGAGAGGATAAAGCCAAGCTTGAATTCCAGCTGGTGGTGTTTCAGCCTGAAGCAGAGCGTGATCCCATCCCTTCAGAAGCGGGGTCACAGGTCCGCATTAAATACAGTAATGACCCCAAAAACATCACTAAATGTTAAAGAGGGTAAAGCAGAGGTGTTAAAGTGGTTCCTGAAATGGCCGTGTGGCTGCAGGTTTTCTTTATATACAATTATAGATCATTAAAATGATAGCACTACAAATGAACATTTATGCTATACAAAAATATAAAACTTTAAAATGTATATTTAATTTTAAAATATTTAAAATAAATATATATATTTAAAATGCATAATTTAAAATATATAACATTTTTGTACTGCTATCATTTTAATGATAATAGTTTGTAGAGGTCATCAAAGGTCAGTGAACATCTGTTCATGTTGAAACTAAATTTTATATAAATTATAAGTTGCTAATCTATGAATATGATTAAATTTTAACCTGAAGAAAAAAAAATATAGCAACACAAAAGACAATTTTTGTTGCACAAACCAGCACTAACGGAGTCGAGTTAATTGACACTCATTTTGTCTGATTTGAAGGTGGGGGGGGCTGGTTGACCTTTGATGACCTCTAGAAACATTTCTTTATATCTTTAAAAATATAGCGGCACAAACGAAAAGTTTTGCTTCACAAACGTTTCACACCAATTTGGTCTAAAGGTGGGGGGGCAACTTCACTCAGGTATCAAAACCCTATTGAGAAACTCCAGGACACCATTATGTAGAGTAATACGAAATAGTTAATTTTGGTTATTTACTGTAAAAGCAAGAAGTCTGATGTTATTTGCATTTTTTTTTTTTTTTTATTTATTACATTTCTAATTTTTAGTCTGTTTTTCTTTAAAAATATACCTAATTTTTAATCTTCTTCTCAAAGTATCCCGTTTTTTAATGTTACGTAATTTATCTTTTTTATTCTCATGCTTCCCTTTGTATTTCATTTTGCTACTGTATATTTTTTTTTCTATGCAGTTTGTACACCGACTAGATTATAGTTTTAAAGTTTTAGATCTTCAGTACTTTCCCATTAAAAATGAGGGGAGAACTTGTTTTTGTGAGATACCGTACACATAGCTATACACACAGCAGCTCGTTTATCTACCTGCTGAGTAGACGCTCTCCCTATTGTTTAATAGCTTTTCTATTTAGAAGAACAGTCAGACACAAAACCCACACCTATTGAGTCACATCACATCCAAAAATACTTGAGGCTGAGGGAGCTTATGCTGAACAATAACAAAAGGCTTTTCAGCCCTTATTAAAGATGGAACAAGAGGACTCACCATGGGGGTCTTGTACTTGTGGATCACCACTTCTTTAGTTTCAGGAACTATGTCGGTGCAAGAGACAAAAGAAAGAATTCAAAGGCAGCAGGAACTTTTAGGAGTTCATGTTTTGGGAGTTAAAGGTTGGATTGTAATTATGTGTACGATGAGATGCGGACCAAGAAGTTACACCTAAGCAGTTAAAAAAAACTTGTGAATAATTATACAGAGATCAAAGGGTCAGTTTAGGTAAAATGGTTTGGTTCAATTTTAACAAAAAGATTATTTTTCTGATCAAATGTTAACTGGAACAGTAGTAGCTGGAGTCCGAATGTTAATGAAGCTGCAGGTGACACATTCATGGCCCACTAAATGGAAAATAAACCACACAAGTGTCTCAACAGTCTGTAGAAGTTAGAAAAGTTGAACACTTAATTGAAACATAAATCAGTAGAGATAGAAAGTTAGCCCCTTCCTCCCCTGTGATCGGACATCACAGGAAAGCAGCTAGATGAGGCTAAAACCCTGCCCAGAGGACAGGCTGACTTTTCATTAGTAACTGTGAACCCAGAGCAAAGATGAAGAGGCTGTGCTTGGAAAGGGTGATGGGGGGGGGGGGGGGAATGATGAGTCCCTTTGAATCAGCCGTCCCACCTGAGATCTCAGAGGGCTGAGATACAGAGGCGGACCTTCAGCAAAACACGACAACATGAGGAATGTCAGGGTGGGTGTTCAAAACAAAAGAGCAGGTGATGGAGGAAGCAGAGGAATACTTGTTCATACAAAGAAGGTGAAAACGTGTTAATCGGTGCAGTGATGGAATAAGGAAATAATCTGCATGAATCTAGTTTTGAAGAAGAAAGGTGGCGACACTTTACCTGCTGGAGAATGAAGGTTTTCATAGTGGCAAAGATGAGGGCAACATTACAAAAGCAGCACAGAGGCATGACAGTAACCCAGCCAGACATTCTACCTCCTGTGCTGCACTGTCAGAACCGAGTCATCCTTTTCAACTTGAGCTTTCATGTGTAAACAATGCTGTGACTATTCCAACTATTGATCCCGCCCGTCTGACCATGGGTGCAAAACAATCTTACAGTCATCTTTTCCAACAGCAGTGAGTATATTTATCCTTTTTGTAAGAATTCCTTCCATGCTTGTAGAAATGCCAATCAAATTTAAATTTGTCATTTTCAACCTCTGATGCACTAATCATTTTTTCTCTGTATAGAGTTCAGGACGTGCCACTGAAATCTGAACCGTGCTTCATTTATGTGCTGCTCATTTTTTAAAGGTTCATCAGCACGAGTTGCCGTGGCAACAGCACTGGGCGCAGAGTCTTTTTTTCTCTACACCAAGACGCTGCTGCTAGGAAACAAAGAAATCTCCTTCTGTATGCTGGAGTTGTTTGCTTTTGCTCATTTATGATAATCAAATGATGGCGTCAAAGCCTTGGATAATAGTGTGCTTTCTAACAGCATGTGGTGGGGAATTCACAGGGGGTCGGTGAGGCACATCCCAGGTTGTATGAAAATGGATGATAGTAACTTCACTAAGCTGAAAGAATCTTTCTTCCTACGAACAACCAGAGGGGGGGAAAAAAAAAAAAAGACATGTTGTCGTTAGGTATCTTAAATGATTCATCATCTATCCCAAGCCTCTTTCAGTCCAATTGTGTCTCTGTATATTAGGAACTGTTGTTTTGCTGATGGAGTGTGTAAAAATGAATGCCTACACAAAGGTTAAACTGGCTTCCGATCAGCTGCCTTCATTTCAAAAAGAAAAAAAATTATAACTGTCCCACACTTTGCTGCCAGACCTCTTTTCTACAGCTGATAGCATCAGAACTGATCTGTCTGCTGGACTATAGGTCACTAGTTCACAGAGGCTTTCATATGTCAGATTATCTTCAGGTGGACTTGTAGTCAAGATTCTTCTTCAAGGTCAAAGCAATGTAAGTTCTTATGGTTCAATTTAGTCGTAAATTGAATGGTTTTGAACAGGTAATAAAAAATAAGCTACAGAAACCATAAGTGATCTTTTGTTTACTAAAACTAAAACCTGTTTTCTAAAAAAAATCTATATATGGTTCAGGGAATATATTTAATAGTTATTTGGGAACATCTGTATTGTCTGTTGATTTCAAAACAAGGGATCCTAGAATAATATATTGTTCACTAGGTTAAATGTCCAACTTTAACAATAAAGCAAAGTTTAAAATATTCCTAATTATAGTATTCAGAGAAAATATTTCCTGTTGCAGCATTTTAGCAAAAGACTTCATGTTTACTGTCAAGACACAAAACTGACAGTATGACAGAAACGCAGTGTTTGCTGTGATTAAGGAACCTGAGAGCAACTGAAGAGTAACTGATTGGAGAATAATTTATTGTTGCTTTAAAGGATCGCTCATGTCTGAAAAAGTTTTTTTTCTGACTTATCTCTTTGTTACGGAATGTTCACCTGTTAGAAAAAGAGCAGATAAACCATCTTCTAATCTATCCCATCTCCAATCGTCACTCATTTTCCTTCCCATAAACTGCATTAGGTGTTCCTTTGACCTCTGTGTAACTGAAAACTAATCCTTTGTAAAATCATGGCCGTCTTCCCCTCCTGCAGACATCAAAAGCTCATCCTTCCTCAAACAGAATGAGGATTCAATTTAGCAAACCTTTCTAAGCTGTCATCAGTGAATTTGCCATAAAGCTGAGTTACTGCCGTGCCGAGTACAGGCCTAAAATCAATAGATGGTGTAATTACCAAATTCCTCCAGGACAAAGACTCCCTTCACTGTATTGCACTTTTTAATGTGACTCAGCTCTATGAAAACCTAAAAACAAACAAAAACAAACAAAAACAAGACAGAACATTATTAACTTAACAACACCGGATGAAGAGTAAACACTTCATATTTAGAAAACAAAAGAAATTAACCATGTTAAACTTGTTTCATTCAGTGTGAAAGGTAGAAATAAAAACAACTACACATGAAATGCAAGCGCTTAAAAGCTACCAAAAGAAAAGAAAGACACTATGAGAAGTTTCCATGGTCAAACGCATACATGGGCAATGAGAAGAAATGCATTTAGTCTGTTCAACACCAAGTCTGAATAACTCATTTGGTCAATGAAGCTCATCCGGTATAAAAAAAAACTTGTGGTTAATCATATAGAGATGATTTTTTTATGGCAATATGGCCCATATGATGCAAACATGGAAGTTCTATACAAAATGAAGACAAGGACAATAAATTAGACTTGCCATACACTACAACAGTAAAAAAAGAAAAACAGGTAGAGGAAACAAAAGGAACCCAATAAGATGTAACTGCTAATAAGCAAACACAGCAGAGGTTGTGTACCTTCCGCTCCTTGCAGGGGGAGAGAGCATGGGAGAGAAATGGTTTGGATTATTATCGGACAAAAGAGCACAAACACTCGACGACACTCCGAGAGGGCGCTACGTATCTGCAGGAGCCTCGTAAAGGTTCAAATCAAGAATCGGAGAGAGCCAATGAATAAAAGGAGAAAAAAAACCCACCACAGGAGGATTCAACCACAAGAGCTGGCAAATAGGAATAAAAGAAAGGTACTCAAGTTTGACAAGAGTGCTGAGAAATTTAATCACCTTTGTTTTCCTGGATTTTAAAACATCTCAGTCCCCCACAGCCCTCCATGCCTCCTCCTCCAGCAACAAGGGCTGGCACCAACATAACTCGCTCACAACAGCAGAACAGGTACGCGAGGGCAGAGCGTAAACCCCACTGGCATGTAGGATCTTTCCTTTATCACTTCAGAACAAGACATCCAAGCTCAACACAAAGCAGTCTGAAAAACTAGTTTTACAAAAAAAAAAAAACGGCATCCACATAGTTTTATCTAAATAGCAGACTTCTATCAGGTAATCATTTCTAAGAGAGACATAAAGGTGCCATATTTTATATTCTAGAAAAATGAGGCCTGAACAAATTCAGACTGTGAGCCTGAAGGAAAAAAAATTAATAAAATAAAACTTTTAACAAAGGTCTTAAAAGATTTTTTTTACCAGTCAAACATTTTTACCAGTCAAACATTTTACGCTTTGCCTTCTTAAAGACAAAAAACAAAACTGTCCGTTACTGGGATTTGACAGGTGGATTGTTAAGGAGTGCAGGGTAAACAACATCCAACTTTTTACAAATAAATATCTGAAAAGCGCGGTGTGAGCATAACTATTGACAGAAGAAAAGAATCCCCTTAGCATGATGCTGCCACTACCATGTTTCATCATGGAGATTCAGTGGGCTGTTTAATGTACATTTCCCTCCATGCATAGATGTACATGTAGGCTGAATAGGTCCTGTCAACAGTCTACCTTAGGAGATCTCTACAGCTTCTCCTGACTTGACATAGGCCTCTTGGTTTGTTTCTTATGTTAATCTACAAAGACATCCACCTACCTGACAAACTGAGCACATTAACAGTCGTGAGCTACTCTTTTTAGCACCAGGTGACTACCTAGATGATGCTCTGTAAGATTGTTCATTTGTTATATTGTTTTAACCTAACCCAACTTTATATGATTGCTCTTCTCTCTTTGACATTTCTGCCATCTTCCTCTTTAATCTTTGTGGTGCCGTTTGTGCTCTAGAGTTCTCTAAAAGAATCCCAAAATTTCAGATTATCTAAAGCTAATAAAATAAAATTAAACTTTTATTACAAATCAGGTGACTTCTGAAAGTATTAGCTTGCAACAGACTTTATTTAGGAGTACTAGAATGACAGGGACTGAAGGACTATGCATTAAAATAGGGGGTTTTCAGTGACGTCACTGGCCAGCTTCCGGTCCGCCATCTTGGGTGGCATATTATCGTATATCATATATATCATGTCGCGAATGGATAAGTACGCCAGCACGCTAGAGCCACCAGATCATGGAACATATCTGAGGAAATGTTCCGTGATCGACCATATGGACCCCTATGCCCTCCACGGTGCCTTGTTTAGCACTAATCCAGATGATTGGCCAAATGTAGAGCATGGTGACATAGTTCATTACCCGGTGTTCAGTGAAAACCCTCTGCACACTCTTGAGGAAATGAGAGCGTACAAGGGTCTAGAGGCTAACAACCAGTTCACATCTGGTTGGGTACGAGATGTCGAAGTGATGTACATGAGGAAATCGCCATCATACGTGGACGGGTGAGTTTTAATAAGATGGTAAAAATGTAAACAATCCGACGCAGGGCTCGCTATGCTAGGTGGCTAACAGCCGGCGGTGCGCGAACAGTTCCAAAGCTACAAGTCCTTGGAGTCTCATGTGCAGTTTACGAATGGATGGGTTCAGGAGCCGCAGCTCATAAAGCCAGCAAACAGTGCTAACCGTTAGTGCTAACAACCACTCAGGCATGTAATGTACTTTTAACTAGCTGCTATGTGTTTCAAAGGTTTGGTTAGTAACGTTAACTGCCAAACCTCCCTAAACCCTCCGGGTTTCTCACATATTTGAGCCTTTTCCCGCTGGGTTAAAAATCAAGTTAAGGTGAAATTAATCAAATTAAAACACGGCTGAGAGAGGGAGTCCAGTACGCGGTAGTCATAGGCAGTAGTCTGAGTAGCGTCAACATTTCGGCCACGGAAAGTAATACGTCATGACGCCCAAGCCCTATTATTAATATATTCTTACTTGTTTTAAATACTTGACAGTTAATAACCTGTGACAAAGTGAGCACTGCAGACTCTGGCGTATTCCAGCTTAACACCGTCCAAATCGGACCTGGATATCCGTGTCAGCCATAGGTGACGGCGTGGGTTCAGATAGCTGTTTTGTTTTTTCACATTGATTCACGATTACGGCTGGTATACGATAGAAAGAGCGTTGATCTCCACCTCCACGGGCCGTGCAACCAACAATTACACACGTTTTCACCATTTTTCACTTTCAATACTGCCTAAGGCTGCCACCCAATATGGCGGACGCGCTGAGTAGTCACGTGAGCGTGACGTCACCTGAAAACCCCCTATTAAGTCAATCATTTTTGTAAAAAAAATATTAAAAATAAAGTGAAGTTTCTGGTTGTAGTGTGTCAAGATATTCAAAAAAGGTTAAGAGTGATCCAAGTTAAATGCTCTTTTAGTTTCATTCAACCTGGGAAAGATAGGCTTCATGAATGAAGCTAACTGCTAACTGCCTTCCACAGTAATGTCACGTTTTAGTGACCAAAATGAGGCCGTCACACAAAAACAGGGTTAGAACTTCTACTTTGCAGACAAAGAAAAATTTTCTAAATATCTTAATAAAAAGATATTTATCTCAGCAAAAAATATCTAGAGCAGATACTTAAAAATAAACATATGCTACTTGTCAGGAGATTGTTCTTTCTTCAGTAATTTGGGTAACTCAGGTTTATTATTATCTTCTCTGCAAGTAGTCATTCATTGCTCAGTACGGGAGAGCTTGGCTTCAGTGTTTAGACATGGAAAGGTACTGTCCTGTTTCATTATGGAAATTTAAAAAAGCAAATACTAGAAAGGATGATAAGAGTTTCCAAATCATATAAAAGTAGTTGCTCATAATGTGAATAAAGGTAATAAAATTATACTTTTTGCTGAATTTAAGTCTTTGTTGACTGCGTTATGGATCCTATTCTTTCAGATCTTTTCCTCATGCTAATCAGCTGAGAAAATACACAAGCCCAAACTGTCACTGTCTACAGACGTGACGACAACACATGGCAATGTTGAAGGGTCCAAACTCAAAATGAAAAGTTGCTATTATAACAAAGCCAATTATTAATGAAAAGTCTTTGCTTTAGGTCATCTGTCTAATCACCGTTGCACAACAAAGACACACACACATACGCACAGATTAACACATCGTTTCTTCCCACACAGTAAATGAACATGAGGTCTGTGTACCACAGATGTCAAAGGAAATTGTGAGGTATGAGTTGACATTGATTTAAACACAAAAAAAAGGCATGCATCCATAAACACAAACGTTCAAACATAAAAAAAAAGAGCTAATCCAAAAAAAGCAAAAGCACAAACGGGAATTCTTCCTCTAGAGGAAAACACACGTCAATACCAGCCAATTAAGTATGTCAGAATGATTCACTTGAGTTACATTTTTATTAAGGTTTTTAATGACAATAGAGGAAGATGTAACAGGATGAAAGGAAATGCCATCGATGTGTAGGAGACAAGGAGAGATGGGGACAGAAGGACGGGATGAACTCTGAGCCATCATGAGTAATTGTTTTTATTCTCATGCCCTAATGTGAGATCAAACAGTTTTTATTGCTGTGGTGATGGCCTCCTACCTGGCTGTGCATGAACTTCAGGTTGATTCCTTCCAGCGTAACCTGAAGCAGTCCACCTTCACCAGTTTTCATGTCCTGGACAGGGAATTCACCGCCGAGCTCCGGACCTGAGGAGGAGATTCACAGCATTTTTTCTCCCCCCTCCCAAATGTCAAGTTTTCCTCATTTCCACTTGTGGACCTCTAAATCCACTTCAGACATATTTTCAGTTTAAATAGAGAATAACACCATTTATTGCAGATTACTGCAACAGTCAGGCTTTAAATGGATGGATGGATGGAAATAGAAATGAAGTCTAGAGATTTATTATGTATTCTGCAGCCCTGTTTTTTTTTTTCTGAATAAATCTAATAAAGAAAATGAGTAAACCAAAACAGTGTTCTCTCTACTCTCTCTGACATTGATTGTATCAGAAGTTTAACCTGGTTTAATGCTCTGCTGTCTCGCTGCGGCTCTCTCCATGCTGTCTTTAACACAATAGTAGAGCTCCCGACACTGAAATAAACAAAAGAAAGTTAGAAAAATTGATCCCCAACTTCCTCCCGAAAATCTTGCAGCGGCGCTTGGCATACAGCTTCAGACCTTTTTCGTATAGAACTTATTGAGCTGCGTCTCTTGGCCGTTACGTCTCCAAAGACACAGCACCTTGGTCTTGGGGCAGTACGTCATGTTAATGAGCTTCTCGTACCACCAGCGCTCATAAACTGTCCCAATGTTGCTGCGCAGGACTATGCAGTCGTCACAAACCTACAACAGTGATTAATGTTCATTATTACGAAAAAGAAAAACGGGATGCAAAATATGCAGCACAGAGGAACGCATTTCTTTACCTCCATAAAGAAGATGTCTCCTGTTGTATCAGTACCAGCGTGAACAACAAATGTTTGTTTCTTGATGTGACGACTCCCACTGGGCCTGATGGACAGCTCACGGCCGTTCTACATGAGATTGGTGAAAATAAATGGCAGGAAACCAAAAGAGGCTAAATGTAAATGATGACAAGTGGGAGACATAATCACCATATTGGCCAGTTTGTCAAGTAGCTCGTTAATCTCTTGGCTGTATGTGAGTCCGATGTGAGATTTGCCCATCAAACGTCTCACTTTCTTCCTGATATCATTTTTGCTTACCTAAATGAACAAAAATCAAACTAGTTCACTCGCATCAAGGAGAAACAATCAAAATAAAGAGATTAAAAGACTTCCGTACTTTCATCATAAGCATGTAAGCAATCATGTTGTGTAGCAGGGTGGCCAAGAGTCGGTCTTCATCATCCTCCAGACGCTTGCGATCGTGCTCTCCAAGTGACAGGTATCTGAGTTAACGTGTGAAACAGACTGCTTTAGAGAACAGATCGTCTAAAGATTGTCAAAAATAAACAGATATAGTTCAGACAACCTGTCAATCATTTCGTGGGGTCCCTGGTCCATCCCCATTCCTTCACGCTCCAACATCACAGCATCTAAGAAGGCATCCTCCCAGAACTGTACTTGATCCCAGAGGGTGGAGCGCTCCTTACCTGAAATTAATGATCTAGTTTGTCTTACAGCATATGTTACACCTACCAACATAAATCATTTCTTTTTAAGCATATATTTACTCTCTACTAGAAAACAAGGTGTGAAATACAAGTTGATAAAAGTAAACCATGTCTGTTCTGTGATGCATAGGTACTTCATTTTCTACAGTGGTCTAGAACCTGAACTTTTAGTCTCAGCACTTTTAAAAAATACATCCAAGGTTAATCCCAAAAGGCTTAAGGTCTTGAAATATCCAATAATTATGAGTTTTAAATCTGTAAAATTACGCAAGGCTTTGCAGGTGTCTTTGACTAAAATAATCTAATAACATTCATTATTTACATTTTAAATGTCCTTGAATCACAAAAAAAGTTAAATACCCTAATAAATAACCACGATATAAATGTTTGATGATATACAAAATTGTTTTTAGAGACATAAAATGACAAAAAGCTTGTTTTAGGAGCATATCAATCAACTGTGAACATCTGGGTCTGTTTATCAAATCAATGAGGCCTGGATTCCCCAATTACGACAACAGCCAGATTGATGTGCAGCTTCTTCTTTGGACTAATGTAAGCAAGTGTTTAAAAAAGGAAAAAAGGATACAAATGAAATATTAAGCTAAATCTAAATTAAAATCCTTTTATGGCAAATGAGGAAATGTCGGAGACTTTAATATGGTGACCTTTACTAGTCTCAAAGAGACACTAAAACAGACACCCCTTAACACTGCACTCTGAGGGATGTTAACACATCTCATTCTCTAAAATACTTCATATAAATTACTACATTAAATAATTTTATACAGACAAAAACATTTAATTGATTCTGCTTCCAAAAATGCTAAGATTCTTGACTAAAACTCTATCAATGTTATTTTTATTTGTCCATTCCAAATAAAATTCAGAAAAATAGATGTAAACTACATGTAAATCTTTGTATAAATGAGCCAATAACTTCCTTACACGTTCTATGTTAAAATAATCTATCACTCAATTCCTCATGAGAAATCTAAACCATCACTTTTCTTCCCCAAAACGCAGCCAAACATTTGACTAATATAAATCAATGACTAAGGTTGAGAAAACAACACAGGGATATGAAAGAAACACTTATTTATGCCTTCAAAATTTCACATATAATTAAGAATTTCTACATCTAATAATATAGAAATGTGTTTTATACAGTATTAAAATACTGATTTTATCTAGCCTATTAAACAAAACTATTTCAAACTTTCCTTAAAAATAATCAGAATAATAATTTTAACCATCACTTTAGGTATTTAATACTGCTACTTATAACTAGTGTTGCACCGATACAAGTATCAGCCGGGGCCCCGATCCAGCACTAATATTGTGGAATCAGTATCGGCGAGTACCAACAAGTAGGGCACCGATACCATTTTCAGAGCCAAAAGTTTATTCAATTATTGTGACCCATTCCAGGTAGGCAATAAAAGTTCTACTGGATTAACTTTGTATTAGTCTATTTCCTGCTTCACAAAGGCAGGCAGCAGCTTGAAAAAGCCACAATTGCAATTATTTTACATCCAAGTAGTATGCAGTTCTTTATACATATACACACACATCAAGATGGTATTAGTATGGTATCGGTCAATACTGCACAGCCAGGTATCGGGGCCAAAAAATGGCATTGGTGCAACACTACTTATAGCTCTAGAGGAAAAAGAACACCATCTATTAAGAAATTACTGGAAATATCCAAACCCATTTAAGTTATTATGCAGTGAAGAACCGTTGACATATGAACTACCGTAAATTCTCTAATATAGGCCCGGGCCTTTATTTCACTCAAGGGCATCGCGGTCCAGGCCTTTATTGGATAGAGGCCAGAATTAGAGACAGGCCTCTATTGCTATTTGAGCAAAACAGACTACCAGTGGAATGAATAAAAATGAGATTTTGTGTCTATTTGAACCTATAAAACACTAGGTTCATTTATTGAAAAAGTACAGTTACTATGTCTCGCTTGGTTTGAAGTAAAAAAAAAAAAAAAAAATCCTCCAATTCTGTTTAATTCTCCTCCTCAGTTTTTCTCCTCCTCTTCATCTCTCCCTTTAATCTCCTCATCACTCGCGCTCCTCCTCCTGTTCTGCTGCGTGTCTGTTCTCTTCCTCGCGCAGATGGGCAGCAGTCGGCCTGTCGTCCAGCTGCGCAGGGCTCTGGTACTTGTATGTTACTTACTACCACAAGTATAATGTTGAGGTATGCCCAGAAAAAACGTTTATAGCCCCGGCCTGTATTAGAGACCGGCCATTATTTACCTCCTCTGAGAGCGAGACCGGCCAATGTTAGAGACCCGGCCGCTATTGGAATACAGGCCAATATTAGAGAATTTACGGTATATTAAGAACTATTTAAAATTTTAAAGTTCAATAGAAATACAATCAGAGTTTGGGATGCAACAAATTGATACCCAAACTACGTAGATGTGAAATAACTTATAAATCAAGTCATTGTTCCTATCTTTAAGCAAATCTATTCCTGTTAGAATTTTTAAACAGTTTTAAACAAATATCACAGCTTCCCTATGGATAAAACCTTAACCATACTGCTGGCGCTTATTAATGGAGCTTATTAATGAACAGGTGTTTCCCATCAGATACACTAAAAGGCTGAAATTAAAGAGTTAGCCGAGTACCGAGGACAAAACACAATCCACAAGCACACACAAATAACCACCAACAAGCAAGAGATCAGCCCTACTTAGAGAAAAGGTTTCCATGGCCGCATCCTCTAGCTGATCCCAAACGGAGCTCTTATCCCGCCCTGGAGAAATTTTCCACGGTGAGCAGCAGAAGGAGAAAAAAGCAGCGAGAGCAGCACGGGGGTTAGGAGAAGAGGTGTAAGTTGGTTTGATGACAAAAAACGAGAGCAGAGCAAGCAGAGAGGCACACCACAGAAACATGACAGGGATTAATACACACACCACCTTTTTTTTTGTTATCTTTAAACACACCATTTAAGAGCCTTTGCATCAGGAAATTTCACAGACAAGAATAGCCATTGGGACTCCAGATGTGTTGAGTTTTAACCCAACTGTTTATTTTTTGTTTTTTACTTGCTCAATTTCCGTAAACACTTCTGACTTTAACTAGGACATACTGTTATATTCTACAGAATGATGCAGCTTTTTGGTGCAGTTTTACACAGTTCCTAAAATATGAATTCAATTCAGCTCCATTTCTTCTTAAACACATATAAACTACATTTGCATCTCTAATTTTTTTTTTTTTATCTGAAGAAATAACAACAAATAACTTAGTGTTTTAGTCAAGACCACACCGAACAAGGATTATCAAGACCAAGACCAAATGAGGTCTCAGTCTTGGCCTCGTCTTAGTACTCCTTGGTCTCATTGGTACGATCTTAAGAAACTACAGTACTGAGAAACTAAATATTAGGTCAAAATACATGAAATCACCACTGATAAACAACAGATGCAGAAAAAGGGACTACTTGACAAGTTGACATGAAGGATACATTCCCTTTAAACACCAGCAGCAAGAATCTATATAGTGGAAGTTTGTGGGGGAAAAATGGATGAATCAAGGAGCAGCACCTACCCAACAGGCCTTCAAAAAGATAAATCCTCATACTGATGTCCTCCATCGGTTGTACAGGAGGTGTTTTGACCATTACGGGTAAATGATTTTTGGCCCCGGGTTTAAGAGTATGGGTCCTTCCCTGTGGAAGGAGGAAAAGATCAAGTTAAAATGGTCGCATGATTACAAAGTTTATTTATATGAGAAGAATAAAACCTTTTGTAGTCCATTAAAGGCTTTCAGTTACCACTGAATACTCTGTAGATATAGTGTTAACTTCTTGGAGAACTGTTTATGATTGTTGGCCATTGTGGGCTGTGTTTCTGAGGGGAACGAGCTGGAGTACTGGTTGGTCATCATGGGCATTGTGGACTGGTGTGAGAACAACCACCTTTTTAAACAACAGTAAGACCAGGGAGATGGTGATCAACTTTAAGAGAAGTCCCCCACCTCACTCCCCCGTGAACATCCAGGGGCAGGACATAGAAACTGTTGAGTTTCAATTACCTTTGTGTTCACATCAACAATAAACTGGACTGGACTCAGAACACAGTATAAGAAGGGCAAGATCCTCCACCTCCTGAGGAAGCTGAGGTCCTTTGGAGTGAGCATGCCCCTGCTTTAAACCTTCTATGACTCTGTGGTGGCCTCAGTGCTCCTCTATGCTGTTGTCTGCGTAGCACCTGGCAACGCAGAGCGGGACATAAAGAGACTGAAGAGACTGGTGAGGAGGGCTACTTCTATCCTGGGCTGTGGAGGAAGTGGCCGAGAGGAGGGTGTTGTTCAAGCTTACATCCATCATGGAAACCTTCCACCCTCTGCACCAGGCTGTAAAGGAGCTGAGCAGCTCCTTTAGTGAAAGACTTATTCACCCCACGTGTAAAAAGGAGCACTATCACCGGTCATTAATCCCTGCCACCATCAGACTTTACAATGCCACTGCACTATAACCTTGTCTAATAAGACTGCAGTAATCTATTCTAAGTTGCAGTTACAATACTGAAAGGCTACCAGGGATGATTTAGATCATTATTTATTAAACAGTTTGACTGAATTTTGACATTCGGCAAAATATTAGGGTTTCCCTGTATTATTATCAGAGCTCTAAATTGAAATATTTTGAAGAGTTTGAGCAAGAAAAAAAGAAAAACCTGCTAAAATGTGGGCTGATCTTCAGAATAATCAGTCAAGTCACAGCTACAGTTTTTAGATACTTTTTGGAAGCAGCAGAAACAATGACAGAATGTTGGGCTACAACTACAGAGGGATTAAATTTAAAACTAAACAAAAAGCCAGTTCAACAACTTTAATCGCTCTGGTTGTTACCATTACAATCCCCAAACTGTCTGCCTAATTAACACTACTATTTGTTCCACTAATGCCCGATGCTAAAGGTAGTCCATTCATTTCAAGGCTGCATAAAATTGACCTTGAATTAAGCAAAAAGCAGTGTGTGATGCTCCTGCAAATAGCATATTGAGGTCATGATGCTGCAGCTGCTCACAACCAGAGCACTCTCTCTGATGATATTTATACATTAAGAAAAATTACTTGTACTTTAGGAGCGGTATCAGTGAAAATTCCCATAGTTATAAAACACTAAAGACGTTTCACTTTCCAAACCAGTAAACAAAGTCCAGTGGTTTGTTTTGTACTTTTTTGGAAGGCCTATGACCTGGATGACAGAGAATCTTCACCAATGTATCAGTAAAAACTTTTGTAGTTTTAATGGCATGAAACTAGTTGCTGGGCCACACCTACTATGTACATAAGAAAGTTTGATCCTTTTTTTTAATGAACTTACAAACACAGAGCTTGTGGCTGGATTGGTTTCGATCTCGCTGTCAGACAGAGTTCCTCTGGACTGATTCAAATGAGGAGCAGTTCTCCCTCCGAGACCATCTCCTGCAGTGCTGCTTAGGTCGCTGTCGGCTCCAAGGGTCTCTCCAGAGCTGTTGCTAATCTAAATAAGTAAATAAAACAGAGCATTAAGAAAAAAAGATACATGATAATGTCCTGCATGTAGAGTTACAGGTCATATAACATTCAGGGCAGTGTTGTTTTCGTCAGTGATGAAAAAATCATTTCGTTGATGCTCCTTTTTTTCATGACGAAACGAAAACCGACAAGTTAAACAAGGATCTTTGATGACAAAAACATGACAAGCCATTGGTTTGAGTTTTCGTCAACGAGACGAGACTAAATAAAAATATAGCCGGTCGTCAGTCAGACGTTTAAACTGCATCATTGTGCTGTAAACTGCTAAGCAGCATCACCCGTGCTGCTGCGTCATTGAAAACCAAAATAAATAAATGTGGATTATGTCACGTGTTTAGTTTTTGGATAAAAACTATAAAACTCTTCTTTTTAGACAAAGGTTATTATATCAAGGCCATCAAATAAGGGCACACATACCAAGCCTATAATAAATGTTATCTAAGTTGGCCGTGCCCTACCACTGTGCTGGCCTCCGAGTCCTGGCTGGTGCTTCTTGTGAGGATCGGCGGCTCTGAACTGGTAACAGACTCTGTGTCGCTCTTCTATACAACCAGAGAGAAATGAAGAGAAAATGGGTTAGTGCTTGGACTTGGTTTTCTTCCTAAAAGCTGAAAATAATCATTTGGTATAATCTGAGCTATCCCTTTCAATGTTCTGCATTCTGATTATTATTCAAAGCTCAAAGTGAAATGAAAACATAATAAACCCATGCTATGTACCATAAACAAACGTCTACGATTTTGCTATGGGACTGTGCATTTATTTAATTATGTTTTTGAGCTGAACCATGTACTTTCACAGAGCTGAATTAGGCGTACAAACCTGAGAGCCAGATGCAACACTAAGTCCACTATCAGCACTGATCTGTGATTTCTTCTCCTCTGCGTCAGTCACCTGCGGGCGCTGCTGCTTTCCCACTTCAGCCCCTGCAAATTAAATCTAATCATCAGCCTGTTTTACATGTGGTCTCATGCTGTCCTTACCTTGCAGGTTGGCCTCACTGAAAACCTACACAGCATAGAAGCACTGACTACATCCATGAGAAGGGTCAAAGGCTCTGCAGTGCACACATGATGTGTTGTTTAGGCAAAGCACACTGGATAACAGCAGCTTTACAAAGTTTGAGAAAAAAAAAAAACATTTCATATCAGATTAGAGCTGCTACCAGCTTTAAAGTACAGGGAGGGATTTTATACCTATTTTAAAATCCTGTCTAAACTATTCAGTTGCGAAACAAAGCTACCGTAAGTCAACTTCAAAAGAAAGAAGGGACAGAGCCAAGCACAGTAAGCTGTTAACATTGCAATTTAAAAAACATTACAAATGAAAACAAAGCTGCAAGAACAAGACATTTTTCAGTCAGTGTTGCAAATGTGGCCCAATTTACACCAAACCCCACGAACAAACACAGGCAGTTAGGCATGCAGACAAACTCATGGTCAGTAAAGGAGACATTTTCTGTTTCAAGTGTGACTGTTGTTTTATCATTTCTGTATGTGGATATGAGGCGACACGTTATTCCTTACAGGTCTGTGTGTAGTTCTCACTTTTTTGCAATATTTAACTTTGGCAAAGAAATTCATAATGCACCGGCAAAGTCTGAAATGTTGGCTGTAACATTACAGCAAGCCACTTGAAACTGGAAAAAAGTACAGTTAAAAAGAGCAGGACAGGGCAGCAGGTAATCATTTCTGCTTATCTTGATGCATGATTGCAAGAGAGAAAAAGAACATTTTAAACAAAAATACATTTTGCTTAGTTTAAAACAATCCTTATTACTGAAAGATGCAGTCATTTTTATTTTATAGGTAGCCAACCAACAACCTGAAGGATCTCGGAAGTAATTTGCAAATGTTTCTAAGGATTTTAACTTTTTCACATTTTGTCATGTTTTGCTTTGAGGGTTATCAAGTTGGAAAGTAAGATAAATGTTTGTTTTTTTACTTTTTTCTTTTACAAGTAAAACTAAAAAATACTCAGTTTTTATTTTGTCCCTATCTAAATGCATTTATCCATCGTTGTTTTGCATTTACAGCCACAAACTGAGGTTTGACTCTACCAGATTTAAACATCTATAGACTGAATACTTTGCCAAAACTTTTTTATCTAAGATATTTAAAAGGTTGACTCAGCCTGACTCAGGGGGATTCTTTATCAGTTTGGCTAGTGGACGTTGACTAGGCCATTCTTACAAATATCAGCTGATCTAAGCCATTCCATTGTAGCAATGGTTGTTGGTTTACTTTGACAGTCCAGTTGGAACATAAACATCAACCCCAGAGTCATTGCGTTTATCAGCTCAAACATGTTTTCTTCAACGATTGTCCTGTATTTACATTCATCTATCTTCAACTTTTACCAGCTTCCTTTTCCCCGCTAATCAGCCCCACATCAAATTCCTGCTATCTCCATGTTTTGGTAAATATGAAGACTTTCCTTTGGTTAACAGCTACAGTACCAGGGTCGGTAGCTACAAATGTCTGTTTCAGGATGTCTCAATTATTGCAGCGCTGTTGCCAGAAAAAAAGCAACAATGTTGTTAAATGGCAAAAAGTAAGGACTCTCTAGAGGTATGATTGCCTTTAGAAGGCACTGTAAATTTTAGATGATTTTTTTGTGTTTTGTAAAAAGAAAAAAAAAGAAAAAGAAAAAAGTGCATGAGAAAGGGTAGCTTTTGTCATTTCTCACAGTAATAAATCTAGTCTACTACCACTTTTATGAATGTGCATTAATCTCTAATTTAGTAAACAGTAAATCTACGATAAAACATCCTAAATAAAATGTGTAAAACAAGATCTCTCGTTCTAGATGTAGAAAGCAACTGAATCCTGATACAATTAAAATTTTCCATTAATAAGCAAATATCTAAAAAAAAAAAATATATTATAACTCAAAACATGACCAGAATTTGGAGGGTTTGTCAATTTTGATCTTCTTGGATCAGCGCTTGTTGCACTTAAAAAAAAAAAAAGACACGAGTGAAAGAAGAGGTAAAAAAGTGAAAAAATAAGGGGTAGGGAAAAATTCACTCCAACACCCCAGTCTTTTCTTTTTTTGGTGTGTGAAAAGTCTCTTACTCTGTTGTTTTTCCATAGCTTTTTGCTTATCCTGGTGCTTGCTCCACAATTCTACCCAAGATGCATTGCAAGCAAGGAGAGAAAGACAGAGAGAGAGTCAAAGAGCTGGTTGAAAAGGCATGTATGGTGGGTGAGCATTAAAATCAACTCAAAACAAAAGAAGCATTTTAATTCTGTTACGTTATTAATTGAGGTGTTTTGTAATGTTTGCATGTAGTGTTGATTTATTTTAAAACAAAAGTTTTTTTTTAACAAATATGCCTTGGACAATATTGGATTTACTATACAACAGCTACTTAGGTAACATTACAACACACCCCTAGCCCTCCACACAGAGACCTGGAGAGCCACACAGTGCTGTTAGAGAACCATGGCTCAGACCATCTACATTAGTCCATTGCATCTGTCTGGCTCTCCAGAGCAAAGGTGAAAACATGATGGCTGAGTGGGAAAGAGCATGGGATGACGTTGATAGGCCGGCTAGCCAGTGAGTGAAATGGAGTAGTTGCAAAAGCTGGGATGCAACTCTCACAGCATTCTGTAGAATTGAAGGTGCAACTTCTAAAAGGTAGAAAAGGGTGATGGTAGGAGAGGTGTGGGTGGACGAACTCAGAACAGTCCCCCGTAGACAGACCCAGAATTTCATCAATAAAAAATGAGTTAGAATTAAAGATGTAACAGAAAAAAACATGTCTGTTGTTCCAATTTTCTATATACTGGGACTGTTTACTGGGGAGAGATGGTTCCACCCTCCATGCTAAGAGCAAAGGGAGCTGTTGTTTTATTTTGTTTCTTTTTTTTTTTTTTACTTTCTACAGCACACCTTGAAGAAACCTGCAGTAAAGGCTCAGACAAACACTGATTGGACTATCGATGTGTATGACTATTTTCCCTCATCCCCTACTGCAGATTTTCACATTGCAAGAACAAAACAAACACATGCATTCAGGGTGCTAGTAAGCCAACAACAGAACCTCAAGGAGGAAAACAGCTTCACAGATGTTTAAGGAAAAGGGAACAAACACACACAATCCAGGCTGGAAACAGGACATATATTCCAGACACTTCAAAACTAATTCATATTCATTCAACATCTTTAATTTAATTTTATGCTTATTTCTAAAAGTAATGTGCATAAATAATTAAGTAGGTATGATTATCAGCAATAATTTCAGTTTAAGTGTGTGGAATATAAAAGCACCTGTAAGTATATCGGTCTGGGACAAGTGAAGGGAACTTTCTCTAAGACGGTTGGAAGTAGGGCGGGGGAGTATAAGGTTGATGAGCTTTTACAGGGGGGAAGGCAGGGAAAAGGGGAAGTTACACTGCACATGCAACCGGACTTGAGTGGTGTACACACCAATCGAGGCAATAAAGTTCTCCTCGTTCAGACTTCGGGTATCAAAATGGCGGGCTCCTTTGCCCATGGTGTGGTGAGGCAGCTGCAGCTGGGGGATGTTCAGGAGGCCCTGAGGTCTGGCTGTCTCCATACGACCAGAAGGACTCTCTTTACTCCCCGGGCTGCCAGCACTGTCTGTGGGGCTTCGCTTGCGCTTTTCTGGGTCGACCAAGTTATCAAAATTAAGGGGCCAAAGACAAAGTTCATCAAATAAAGGAGAAAGAAGTATATCAAAGGTTAAACTGGGAGGAAGAAAATTTATCTGACACAAGCAAAGAAAAGCTCAAGTTAATTAGTGAGATAGTTAAAGTCTGACATGCAGCACAAAGCTCAATATAAATGCATAGCAAAGGCATGGACAAGAGTAAACACCACGAGCACCTAAAGTTAGACTGAACACATAATCCTTGAGCTTATAAGATTGTAGAAATACTCCTCTATAGATCTCACAATTAGACATAAGCTTAATAAACAGCTGTTCTTAAGTGTTAGGACATACCTTTGGTTTGATAATGTGTGCGTGCTATTTCAAGCAGGCTAAAGACACTAGCCATTCCTCCAAGGCCAGCATTGGTATAGGAGTGCTCCAGACTGGACACTGTACACTTCAGAATGTCCAGCATGCCTTTGTAAACCTTCCTGTTCACCTCCTGGAAAGAAAAGGCAAAGAGTAGGTCTTTGAAAGTTCCCTTTTACAGACATAAACATAAAATGTGTAAATACAGGGAATATTTGTTGCTGGTATGGATGAGACCAGAGTTACTGGATTTATTTTATTCAGTGATTTATAACATAGGAAAAGGTTATTTTAAAACACTTTTACCAAACATAAAAGGAACTGATATATCCTTGAAGTTTGGTTTGTTGAACTGAATATTGCTGATGAAAACAAAAATGTTCAACATATTACCCCCTGATGTATTAAGCTTTCACTGACTCATGAATTATATTTTTATAAAGCACATTTAAAAAAATATCAAAGTTCCATGCAAAAAGAGAATAAGTAAAACTAGTGAATTAAACGGACAAAAGAGACAACAAAAGACCTCACAGTTTGCAAAAAAGAACACAGCTCTCACGCTGTGCATCAAACCAGAAACAAATGAGGAGTTTTCAAAAACGGATTTAAAAGAAGACAGAGGAGCCAGCCTAAGACGTAGAGGCAACCCACTTCACAACAAAGAGGCTACTACCACAAAAGCACAATCATGTCTGAGGTTCAGACTAATCAGCTGGTCGGCTGACCAACGAGACTAAAGGTAAGAAAGTCTGTGGCATACCATGAAGCGAGGCCATTCAGACATTTAAACACCACAATCTTTCAATCGATTCTGTAGAATACAGGAAGTCTATAAAAAGCATCCAGCAATGAAGGGCAGGATAGAGTCAAAATTGTCTTAATTTTGAAAATATCACAGCAGCATAAAGCTTTGTTTTAGCATAGAGGTCATTGTGTGTTACTATCCTCAAAGAAGGTTTCAAGTACCAGGTTCGATCCCCACAGCCCGCACTCTGGGTTCCTAAGCAAAACCCTTAACCCCACACTGCTCCCTGGGCGCCGCACAGCAGCCCACTGCTCCCAAGGGGGATGGGTTAAACGCAGAGACTAAATTTCGTTGCTCTGTACTTGTGACAGTGTAATGACAATAAAATGCTGGAAAAAGAAAAAAAAAAAAGGAAACCAAAGCCCACTTGGGCAAAATGAGATGACTGCAAACTTCTTATCAGTGAAGCTCAAAGAATTCTGGACCATCAAAGCTTTGAACTTATCTTGCTGCACAGGGAGTGAAACATGCAGCACTGCTCTAGGAAACTTTAATTATTAAGGATGGTGAAATGGGAGTACTTTGGCTGCTGACAGAAGACAGACGGCAACAGCCTGGAGGAAGAAGGTTGCTCTACGTGCTTGCAGACAGGGGCAGCCTTTGGAAGGCATTTAGCTAATAAGGTAGCCCGTCTGTGGGAGCATCACTGATGGCCATCTGTTGACTCAAATGTTAAGTTTATGCCATTTCAAAATGAACACGCTACCTTTAGCGCCATTACTGAAATAAGGCATTACTGAAATAAATACCACAGTGTTACCAAAGCAGGCAGCTTGGTCACTGTGCTGATTAGGAGCTTGTCAGGCTCAGATTTTTCCACCACCTTAGGGACAGAAGGACAAGGCGCCGCCTGCTCAGCTGGACACTTTGCTCTCTGAACTGAAGTAGGCAGAAAGAGAGGAGGAGGAAGGAACTCACTATAAGCATGAGGATAAGACAAAGAAAGCCATTAAGGTTGACCCTTATAACAATGAGTCAGGCCTCTGTGGAGATACTAACACCTATGCACTTATTGAGCAAAAACTGGAACAGCAACATGTCAAAAAAAAAAAGACTAACACACAAGATTCTAATGAACTTAACACAAACTCAGCAATAGAGAGCTTGTTCTAAGGAAATGGCTGTGTTATTCACCATCAAAAGATACCGTGATTCTTTGTGCTTGTAAAATGTCTTCATTTGTGAGTGCTGGAATTTAATGACTGTTAATTAAAGCATGAAAGCTGTAAAGTTCAGAGGAAAGCCACGGTTGCTTATCATTAATCAAATAGCAGATGTTGGGGCGGTAGACTCATAACTAAAGAAACAGTTTAATAGAGCCGGTAGTGGACAGAGGCCCTAGAGGCAGCTAGAACTGTAGTTAATTATTAGACCGAGTACTTGCCCCCATAAAGGATAGTAAAAGATATGTTGAGACTAACAATGGGAAATTATCTCCTCTGCAGGTAACAAAAAAAAAAAATTTTTTTTTATAATTTATCAATTTTATTATCGACATGTTAAGTTTTTGTTAAGTTGAGCCTTTAAGTAACAACTACAGACGCACAGTTCAGATAGAAGGACATGTTTTATAACTAACAGCTGTAACTGCAGCAAAAGGAGACAGGTAATTACTTGCAGAAAACACTTTTTTGTTTGCAGGTTGCTTCAGAAAATTTTGTTTTGTTTGTGTGTTTTTTTTTTATTTAAACAAATGTCAAACAGTTGAAATCACTGTATTATGCTTCCCTCTCACAGAAAAACAGGCATCTCACCACATCACGAATGATCTGCTGTCTGGCGTCTTCCTCCGACTGAACGGCTCTGTTCAGCTTACTCAGCACAAAGACGCGCAGCTGTTCGTTCTCCAGCAGTCGGCGCACTTTTTTCATGTTAAGCCAGCCGACGCCCTGTCCGTCTAGAACACTCTGGACAACTTCCTTCAAAAACTGCTGGTTCTCACTAGATCAAAAAAACATAATTTTGAACAGAATTAGGTTATTGTACAGCTCTCTAAATGAACCAAGTTATCAGCTTTATGTAAAAAAAAACACCCTAATCAAAGTAATAACAGCACACTCTGGTTTCTTAAGATAGTTGAGGAGTTTTATTACCTTGTGTTGTTAACTCGACCCTGTGGTGAGGGAGATTCTCTCTTTACAGTCGGGCTGTGTTTGATCACTGAAGATTTCTGGTCCACAAGTGCTCGAGGTGCACGTGCCCCTGGAAAAAATATTCAGATAAATGCACACTGCAAAAATTATCTAGAAATAAGTAAAAATGTCTTAAATTAAGTGTAATAATCTTTTATTAATTTGAGTAGGTAAATATGCTTTGCCAATGAAATTAGTATTTCCATTCTTAAAATAAAAAGACAGGTGAATAATTTGAGACAATTTCAATTTTCTTCAATTTTTTAAATGTAAATTGTAAGTCTCACCTCCTCAATTCAAGAAAAAAAAAAATCACTTATTTTTAGAAAAAAAATTGTTATTTATATTTCATTATTTTGCAATACATAATTACATTACTTAGACTAAAGCAGAAACTAGATAGTTCACAAAATAGGAGCATACAATAGAGGTTGGAGTAATTCAATGGGAATGTAAAGAGCCGTTTTCTAACAGCACACAAGAGACATCACATATTAAAAAGGATAGAAATATCTGGGATAAAGCAGACTAGGGTGTATTATAAAAGGAAAGAAGGACAAACCAAACAGCAAAATGCACACTCCCAAACACAAACAAAAATTTATTTGGTTCTTTTGGTAAGGGCATTACACATTAGCTGTAAAGAAGCTCAGGTCAGGGGAAGGACAATGTCAATTCTAGTTAGTCAATGAAAGGCACAAAAGAGAAAAACGGAAACAAAGGTGAGGTGAAAATGGTGTTTATATTACTGTTTTGTTAAAATGCAGGGGGAGGCTGACCATCTGTGTAAACAGCTGCTATATTGAATATCAGGGCTAGCCAGGAAACACTATGTACAACGAGACAGCTACAAATCACTGCTGTTTGTTGGAAGGCATAACCTTATGTCATAGAAGATGAATTAATAGACAAACTACATTTACATACTGTAAATTACACTTTAAGGAGGTCAAGACAGTTGGCCAATTAGTTGTTTAAAGATTGTGAAGACTGATTTCTTTATCTTCCCCATGTTCAAAAATGTAGTTTACATTAAAAAAAAATAAATAATTACTGGTCCTCTACAAATGCTTTCATTCAGGATCACTTTCCGAACACAAGAGCTGATCTCAGCTTTTAAGCATGATTGAAGATGATTACGTCACCAATAAAGGTACCCCATTCATTAGCACTGATAAAATTAGGAGAAAAATCAATAGTTCAGTTGTTTAGGGTAACTTTTACTTTGTGAAATCTACCAATTGTGGTTTGTACACATTGAATACCCAGATTGTCAATAAAATTAAAGAATATTTTAATCAAGACATCGTTCTCACAAGATTCCCAGATATTCTTGCATATACAAATTCAAATAAGCTACCGTTTCATAAGAGCATTAACCTGGGTTTAATTTTGTTTAAAAACCCAAATATACAATAAAAATTTGCTTTAAAAAAAAAAAAAAATCAGTAAATGTTAAACTAGGAATGACTATGAAAGGCCCTGGTATGTAAATATTGTGATACAAATAACCATATAAAATATGACATTTCAAATCATTTTTTGCACCTAAATTTCTGTTAATGAACTGTATCAACCAACATCCAAAATCATCAATTTCCCCCCTTTATTATACTCACTCTATGGATGTCCTGAAAACTTCAAACCTACACGTCGTTTAAAAATGGGCCCTAATCAAAGATCCCAGATCAGCAAAGCTGCGCGTTGCTGATCTGGGAGCTGGCAGTGAGACAGGCACAGCACTGATGATGCAGAGCGCTTTTAATCACTCTTGTGAAAAAGTTTATTAACGCATAAATTAAATCAAAATCCCAAAATCTGCCGGCAAAACATGTTCACTTTTATTATCCTGGTGCCTGCAGTTTGGATTACGTACATGAAAAATGCCTTCCAGCCACCGCGGCAAACCGCAAAGACACGACCAGGCCATTCGCTGCTGTTGAACGGGATTCCTAGTGACAGCGCACCGCCAGTGTATGGGGGCCTGAGCGGCTCTGACAGAAATTATATTTAAAGCAGGATGGTAATCTGGATGAACTGACTGCACTGACGATGTTTTCAGGTGGACTATCGTACTTCAAAATAGATTCAAAATACTTTTTACCCACAGATCTGGCAAATATAGCTGCCATTTTTATAGGCAAAGAAAAGATAGTGTAGCTTTGCCCAGTGCGCATCAGACCCACTTTTTCCACCGTGCAGCTAGAGCAGCAGAGACGCTTTAGCCATGCTTCAGAACTAAACTTGTACAAGCATAAAAAATTTAAGCAGCACACATGTTGTTGCTGCTCTTGCTGCTTTAGGTGTGAACGTAGCATAACAGTGGCTAGCTTCCACCCATGGCGTCCTGCACGTGCATTGGGGAGTCGATTCGTTCATGTGTAAGGGTATGCGCACAGGAGGGAGGGACAAGCAGACGACCATGATTGATGTGTCAGGAACCAATAGTGTACAACAGAGCATGTTTTGTAATTGGTGTGGGTTACACATTGATTTCATACAGTAGCGGGGACCATTTATTTTAATTACACTTCCAAACCTTCTATTTCACTGCTTGCTATGCGACTGTGGGGAGATCTTTTAGCCACATGGTAAAAAATGCGTAAGAAAAGATCTCCAACTGCACCTTTAAAACATATATAAATTACCACATGTTGTCCGAAGACAGTGTCCAACTTCACTTTTGCCGCTTCTCCTGTTCATATGGTAAAGCCTTCCGGAGCTTCCGGGACCAGGCTACACGTGATACAAATTAGCTAATGAGCTGTGTCAGTCTGGATCACTGGGGCGAGCCACTTATAGACACAGCAGGAAAACCTGTGGCAAGCCGGACAATGAGAAAAAGAAAGCAGAGAAAAAGTGGACTACTGGAAGAAGCGCAGTGAAGTAGTGAGAGAAGAAAAAAAAAAGAAAAAAGGGAAATGGTGTGCTAAAAGGCGACCGTGCACATTTGAGTATGTTTGGCTCAACCTACTGCCTTGAAACAGGTTTCTCCACCATGAACATAATCAAAAATAAATATGGATCCAGACTCACGAATGTTCACTTTGATATGTGGTTGAGTATGGCTTTGTCGCCATTCAAACCCAGGTTCAAAAAAGCCTTCCGGGGCAGCCTAAAGCCCACTGCTCTCAATAAGCCATAAAAAAGAAAAAGAAAATAACTAATGGTCATTTTAGGTGTTTCATAAAATATGTGAATCAGGAAATTGTCTATATATCAAACTGAACTATTATTGTTCTATACTTCAAAAACAATTTAGATTTTAAAATGGGAAAGAACTGTATTTAAAAATTCAATGTATAACATGGATGCATAAAAACATTATTTTATTTCAGTGTTTAATGCTGTTTAAAGTAGCGGATTATAATTAAAAATGTCTCTGGACCGTTTTCAAACATCAGCATGCACTGATCGTAGTAATGTGTGCAGCGTGTTGCCTTGTTTCTAAAGCGATTAAAATGAGCAATGACAAGGTGTTTGTAGGACTTCATTGCATTCTGAAGATGACATTGTGCCCATTAAGAAGAAGGGTATTATTCAAAGCATGATGGGCCAAAAAAGTGAGACATAAATGTATATAACTCTTAATTAGCTTCTTTATTTATTTGCTTTTGTAATATTAACCTTATTTATTTTTCTGTCCTTTATAATCTTCAACTTTATTTTTTAATTACTTATATTTTTAAGTAATTATTTATGTGCATGTTATAATATTTTTGTCTGTTTTATTCTTCCTTTGTATTTTTTTACCTTAGTTATTTCTTCGCCGCTGTTTATTTCTCTCTGCCCTTTTTACATTTCTCTCTGCCCTTTTTACATTTCTCTCTGCTCTTTTTACATTTCTCTCTGCTCTTTTTACATTTCTCTATGCATTTATGCCTCATTATGCAAATGAGGAGGGGGTGTGTCCTAGAGAGTCAACTTCTGCTCATTGGTTGGCTTGGCGGTCCATCTTCTTAACTCACAGAGCTCAGAGTACTAAGTTAAATGTTCTCTTTTCTGTTGCTGTTGTTCAATTAAAGTACGTTTTAAGATCATTTGAGGCGAGAACCTTATACTTTTAAGCATCACCATATGGCCCATTCACAGATTTAATGCGTAATTTAAAAGAAAATGTGACGAACTTGAGAGGACCGTGGCAACCAGCGGAGCTCCGAAGCTGACGGCAGCCAGGTCTATAGCCAGGCTATGATGGCGATTTTTTGTTGTATTTGGCAAAGTTTGGCAAAGTCCCTACTCAAGTTCTAATGACTTCAGACTCGACATCAGACTCTCCTCCTGTAGATTCGACCGATGTAGTAAAATGCTAACCAACACGCTTCACACACGGCTATGCCGAAAGAGGGCCTCTGCAACAAAAAATCGCCATCATCACCAGCGATTCTTCACACAGGGCTATTCCGAGAGAGGGCCGCAGCAGATGGGCTGTGGTTAGACCTGGCTGCCGTCAGCTTCGGAGCTTTGCTGGTTGCCACGGTCCTCTCAAGTTCGTCACATTTTCTTTTAAATTACGCATTAAATCTGTGAATGGGCCATATGGTGATGCTTAAAAGTATAAGGTTCTCGCCTCAAATGATCTTAAAACGTACTTTTATTGAACAACAGCAACAGAAAAGAGAACATTTAACTTAGTACTCTGAGCTCTGTGAGTTAAGAAGATGGACCGCCAAGCCAACCAATGAGCAGAAGTTGACTCTCTAGGACACACCCCCTCCTCATTTGCATAATGAGACAGAAATGCAGAGAGAAATGTAAAAATGGCAGAGAGAAATAAACAGCGGCGAAGAAATAACTAAGGTAAAAAAATACAAAGGAAGAATAAAACAGACAAAAATATTATAACATGCACATAAATAAATACTTAAAAATATAAGTAATAAAAAAATAAAGTTGAAGATTATAAAGGACAGAAAAATAAATAAGGTTAATATTACAAAGGCAAATAAATTAAGAAGCTAATTAAGAGTTATATACATTTATGTCTCACTTTTTTGTTGGCAACTAATTGTATGCTTATACATTTATTGAGCATTTATTTATTTCTGTATTTATTTTTAAATATGGCAGAGTTGGTCCTTCATAGCACACAAGGACTGTGTTTAGGTGTGACAAATACTGTTACGTAAAGACAAAAAAAAAACTTTGCATGGAAAACACTTTACATATTTAAGAGTTTTATTTTAGTTACCAACTATGATCCAGGTTTTGAATTGCGCCCCTTAGTGTGTCAATAATTCTCTGTCTTGGTTAGAAAAAACTCTTAATAATCCCGAGTCAATTTATGAAATTTGAAATCAGAGATCAAAGTTTTTTATCCATGTCTGTGGGAAAGATAAAAGGAAAGCCATGAACTAGTAGGAGCATAGTAAGTTACTGAAGACTCTTGTCATGTGGCAGTTTTATCAGCATCCCACTGTTCGTACCTTGTTATGCAGCCCACTGAGAAAATGTAATATTTTTCTAAGATATCATGAATTTAATACAGGGAAAACTCACATCACAATGACTGATCGATCCCGCCCGTGTATGGTGCTAATAATTCAAACCTTTGGAAGGATTTTTTTTTCCATGCATCATTTATGTATTAAATGTACAGATCCATTAGGTACGGCGTATTCCTCTTAATGCTGACCAGAACTTTGATTTAACCTTGTTTTCCTGTCGTCACATCCCTTTGTTCTTAAAACAATTACAGAGATCCAACCCAGCCCCATTTCATACAAAGGGAGCATGAAATAAAAACACAGAAAATAGAAAGTGATTGATCATTGAAATTCCAAGTCTTATCAAAATCATTGTTTTAGTTGTGGCTCACTTTATTTTATTTTTCCCCTAACTTACTATCAAATCTAGAAAATGTTATTTTTTGCACCCCTATTTTTGTAAAGCTACTTTTAGACATAGAAACAAACATTTTGTAAAGTGGAATATGTAATAAGAACAGGCAGATATGAAAAAAAAAAAATGGCCAGACAAAACACTGTGTTCCTTGTTGACTTCTGATGAAAGACATAACTGACATGAGAGTGGAAGACATGGTAGAAATGCTAGGAGGGTGTAATTGACTGGCTTGGAGAAGCATGCAGCTCACTCAATAAAAGGGGCAGAACCCACCTTCTCCACTCCCCGGGCCGGCCTCTGTAATTATCTCCATTAGAGAATTTAGCCCAAATACTGCACACAAAACTCAGAATTAGTGCAGCCAAAAGGTGGACGGAAAAAGAGACACCGGCCCAGACACAACCAGTCTGAACATCAACCCACCACACAACAGAAATGCACACTTCAAATGATATGAAAGTAAAAGAAAGTAAACAAAGAAGCAAAAGAAACTGTATGAGGAGCCTTAATGTGACCGATAAAATGAATAATGATCAGGGCTTTAAATGAACTCTCTGTAACTATATATATATATATATATATATATCTATATATATATAGATATATATATATATTTATATTAATAAATACATTGTTGCAATACAAGATAAAGCAGTTTATGTGAGCATAAATGCGGCAACTCCTAGCTATTTAAATTTTCACATACCAAGAAATTCTTGGCGAGGAGTAGCAACATTCTTTCAGTCTGACTTACTGATTACTCCAAAGGAAGTTAATAATTACAACTCTTTTGAACATTTAACCCTTACTGTAGTTTACCTCATCCAATTTGCAAAGCAAGAAAACCTCTTCTTTTTGTAACTTTGTATTGTCCACCAGTTCCTTACTCTGAATTTTTAGATGAGTTTTCAGAGTTCATTTGGTTCTGATTTGGTGTTAGACTGAGACACAGTTGAAGGTGATAGCTTTAGTGCAGCCGGTAATGCTACCCTCAGGATTACTTTAACAAAGTTCTCTTTCCCCAAAAGAAGGTATCACTTTAGCAGATCATTATCAGACAGTGCAGTTACAAATTTTACACTGAGCCTGGTTCTACTGGAGGTTTCTTCTTGTTAAAAGGGAGTTTTTCCACTACGAGCATGCTAAGTGTGGGGGATTGCCTTTGAGTCAATGAGTCGATGAAATCCACTGGTTTTCCTTGGACAGAAAACTTTAAATCAATTTGACTGTACAGTATGATCTGGTGAATATTAAGTGACATGTGTTGTGAATTGGCGCTATAGAAATAAAGTGAATTGAATTGCCTGGAAAAGTGTGAACAGTGCTGAACATTTCAACAATGAAAATAAATGGGTTATTGAACTTTAAAAAGTATGTACAAAACATATTTTCCATGCTAAGCTGTGAATGAACTCAAAACACAAACAATAGAGAGCAGTGGAGTTACTAAATTATTAAACAAACAAAAAAATAATACAGAGGGTTTGATATTTTTTTTTAACTAGAGAGAGATTTTTCTTTGAAAAATATCAGGTACTTTTGAAGAAATTAGGCTAATGCAGTTTATTAAAAGATGTCTTAATGTAGTAAGAGAGATGCCACATTAAGAAAAGTTTGCAGTCACAGAGGAAATCATTGTTAAAAAAACAGACTTCAAACAGCCACACAAACAGGAAGAGAGGAAGAGAGGAACAGAAAGGGAAGGTAGACAAACAGAGACACTAAGGGTTTAACTTTTATCTCAGCTCTATGCTGAGAACAGGTCTGAACGATTACAGAAACGTCTAGTTAAGAACAAACTATCACACCAGACATAACATACCCGGACTGTCAGGGGAATCTGAACAACAGAGACAAAAAAAAATGACAATCAAAGGAAGAGAACACAACTCTTTAATGGCAGCTATTCCACACTGAGTGGAGTTATTGAGTTATTTCACCATGCTTTGTTTTTATTTGTTTTTTTTCTCTCAGATAAAGAGAAAATCCAACCTAAACAGCTTTCACACTGACCTCCCAAATAGAGCTGGGCAATAAAACAACAATATTCTATTATTGATCAGAAAATAACAATACTGGGGTCGAGGACAGCCTTTAAAATTAAAACAAGATAAAAAAAAAATGTATGTGCCCTGGTAGACTGTATGTGGGGTTTTGTAATTGCTAAGTGGGTGATTGAGAAGTCCTTTTTTTTTTTATCTTTGCTTGAACCAAATAATGCTCCAATTACTGAATTCTGTGTTTATTTTGAGGGGGAGAAAATAAAATACTTATAATAATAACATAAACTTTGATTTATTCTTTTAATTTTTATTCAAACATACGTCTGTGAAACTGGTTTATTATTATTATTTGAAAATGTACTGCTGGAATAAAAATACTGTGATCTATTATCTCCACATCGCCCAGTTCTACTTTAACGATAAATATAAGAGCTACTTTAGTTAAAACAACAACAACAACAAAATTACAACAAGAAGAAAGGAGAAGTTCTCCCTTTTTAAAGCAAAATAAAGTCTGTCTTTGAGTGGATTTTCTTGAGAGAAAAGGTCTGATTTATCCTCAATACTCTCCTGTAAATAGTGCCATATATGTTTGGCAATCCAGTGGAAAGAGAGACAAGCTCTGAAATATGTTACAAACCTGATTGCTCCGTTTCTTCCTTATCATAATTAAAGTATTCTTTAAGCGAACAGGTAGAGAAGGACAGAAAATGTGTTTTTGTTATATTTAGTCTACATAATTAAGGTATTTAGCAATAAACAGACAAAGGTATATTGAAATTTATAAAGCAAAAATATCTAAAAAAAAAAAATGAAATCATCTTCATAAGCTTGATTTAACTTCTGATGTAAACTGAATCTAAATAAGAGCCAATAAGATGGCAGAGTCATGTCAGCCTTGAATCTATGCGATTGTTGTAATTGCTCGCCTACCTTTCAGGCTGGGAAAGGGCGTTGATTTCTCCCGCGCTGCTTTGTTAGGAAGGGCCAGATTGGACAGACTGAAGCTGGTGCCGTGGTTCTTGTATAGATTACCTGTGGTGGAATTACATAGGCAATCATACACTAAAGCATTATTAAATGTTTAAATTTACCTTCATTTATCCAATAACGTGTATTGTACAATTCCAGAGGTGGGTAGTAACACCGTTACCATTACAGTGACAGAAAATGGTGGATATTGTCAGTGGAAGTCCTTTACCCCACATTGTTATCACAAAAAGAATTAACTTTATAAGTTCTATTTTTTTACTAAACATAATATATCTTTTAAAATAAGTTTAGTTTTTAAAATACCAGACAGTCATCTAGAGAGTTGTGTGGAAGAGAGTAATTAGTATTTTTGGATGTTTTAATTATGTTCTGTTGGTTAATTCTAATGCTCATGCTTAATTATTCTTACTAGCAAAAGACATGAGTCCACCAAATCCATCATTGCTGCTGTTGGAGATGGTAGAATTTGGCGAACTGTTGCGAGAGTCTCCCTCTCCATCCGACTCTCCAGGAAGCCTTAGGCTGCTGGGGCGTAGAGGCCGCTGAGCCCTAAAACCAAACAAGTCTTGTGAGATTTTAATCTGACACACAAAGCAAACATGAAGGCTGAGGGATAAATGGAAAATGATATCAGGACTGCAACAACAAGAACGCATCTTGGATGATGAGAGAGAACGTTTAAAAGACAGGCATGTACTCACTTGTTGCCGTTTAGGTTCTGGTTGAATCGAGGGGTGTAGGTTTCAACTTGCTCTTCTTCGGCGTCTTCCTCAGTGGGGAAGCCATACTGAGGCTCAAAGTATGGGTTGTCATATTCTTGCTTTTTGTTGGCAGAATCCACCAGACCCACATCTGCTGCTGGTCTAAGGAATGGCTGGCTGCCCAGTACAGGGACAGGGTTCTGCAGAGCGGCACTTGCTGATGCCTCGATCTCAGGCGCTTCAGACTGCTCCTTAAAAAGCACATATACATCTCCATTGTTTAAATGCCTTCTTGAATACAACACATACTTTTTTGCATAAAAGTGATCCCTAAAGTTTACTTATGTTATCACACACATGATTAACTCCTTGGATAATTGTGCTAGGGCTTGAGCTTGCAGTTGTGCTAGAGCTTGAACGCAAAGGCTGACCGTCTGACAGCTCAACGGCTCCGTCAACACTGGAAGGACCATCTAGGTTATGGCTGTCCTTGTCATGGAAATCTTGAAACTCAACTTCACTAGCATCTCCAAGTGCAGCATGAGTGGGAGGATCCAAGCCTAAAAATATGAATAAATAAAGAAATTAACAGCAAGAAGAGAGAAATATGACAGAGGTATTTTGTTTTGTTTTTTAAATGAAAGAACATACTTGGCGTGTCCCCCTGGATGTCACCTTGAATCATCTCACTCACTAAGTCTCCAAGGGAGGAATATGAAGAGCTGGAGTCGTCATATCCATCACTGTCACTACCACTTTGGGAAAAGAACAGAAAATCTAAAGGTCCTCGATATGCTTATCTAAAAATGAGCCGCAGTAGGGTAGCAGATGAAATAACAGGGTCTAGTTTCCTAACCTGTCTGTGGGGTCAGAGTCATTGCCTTCATCTTCCAATGGAGCAGCCATCGCCTCCACCAGCGAGGAGCTTCCATCATAAACTCTGTAGACCACTGGCTGCAGCTGGTGTGCATACCATTTGGACTTGTCTCCGATTAAAGATGGATCATACACATCTAAAACAAATATGCACAGAGGCAAGTTTATTTCCACACAATAAAACAAAACATTCCAATCAAAAGAGTATTACTGAGCTAAATGAGCCTTACTGTTGTGTATCCTCTGAAAGGCAAGGTTAGAGGGATTGAGTGCCCACTCTCCGTAGAACTCTACTGCCTGTGTGTGGGACAGCTTATCGGCAAAACTGGAGCGGCGTGGGCGAGAGGCAAGAAAAGACGAGCACTGAAAAGCAACCACAGGTCGCGGAAACAGCCGCAAAGTACGCGTGTGCATTTGGAAGCCCTGGAGAACATTGGGTGAGTTGAAAAACCTCACCATGGCAACCCTAAAAAAAAAAAAACAATAGAATAATTAAAATGTCTTAGTTAAAAGAAAACAGAAAAAATATCCCATATATAGGAATAAGGGAGTGGCTGCCTGGTGGTTAGGGCATTGAGCTTGGAATCCAGAGGTTCTGAGTTCTAGCACCACTCACACAGACTGCCACTCTGGGTCCCTTGGAAAGACCCTTAACCCCACACTGCTCCCTGTGTCCCGCATGGCAACCCACTGCTCCCCAAAGGGATGGGTTAAATGCAGAGAGTTAATTTTATTGGTTTTTACTTGTGACAGTGTAATGACATTAAATCCCTCGTCTCTCCTGTAACGACAGGAGAACGGAGGACCTAGTCTATTCAGCCAGGCCAAAAATCCCCTTTAACGACGAGTTCTCAGACACTTAGATGGGTATGGGGCATTGCAGTCTAACAAAAGAAGATAAACGACCCCCATTCCAAATGAGTGGACCCCTTCATCATCCAATTTGTATGTTTTCAAAACAAAAACAAGGCTTTGTTGGGCTACTGTATATAACCCTGAACTCAACGCTATTCCTGACATTTTGAATTAAAGCTTCCTGGATGGGAAGCGAAATGTCTTCAAACTTGAAAACAAAGTCCAGTGGATTGTTTTTTTTATTTTCTTTTTTGGATTAACTATGACCTGGACAACTGAGAACCTTCACCGGCATAATGACAATAAAGTTGATTCTAATTCTAATAATGTGAAAAGTGGCTAGTTGCTGCACAATAATTAGAGTAACCCTACCACCAATTAAAATAATCTGCAGCCTACAAATAGTCATCCACTTTAGAAGTTTTGAATATTCAGTCTGGCATGTAAATTTGTCTATTTTAAACAGAGATCTGTAATCTGTAAGGTTTGTTTTTCCAATGCAAAAATTGCATGCAAGATTTTGTTGCTACCACAAGATGGCAGCAGTCAACAACTGAAAAAAGTTGACACTTTTTTCCCTCTGCCATTTCTGTAGGTTTTACAATAGCTGAAACCATTAAAACTAGTATTTTTTTTCATCTTTTTTATTAATTGCAGTATTTAATTTTTTTTTTTACCATTGCCAGTCTTAAAGAATAAGTAAAACAACAAAGTGCTTTTTCAATTTGTATTTTTACTTAAAATGGCTCCCATAGTCTTCAAACATGGCATCCATAGAGCTATCCTAATATATGGCTACTGACTGCTGCCCTTTCAGAAACTTTTAATCAAATTGGAAATGGAAGTAAAGAACTTGCCTGGTGGCAACATCCACAGAATCAACATCATTGCCATAGATCAGAGGGTTGAACTCAGTGGAGGACGGCGAAGCTTTGTCTCTTCCTGGTGGGAGCAGAGTCATCTCCTGGCCTTCCTGGAACTTCTCCAGGTTCAAAATGGGCTGGGTGTTCAAACTCATGCTGGCCAATGCCTAAAAGGCACCAGTGATACAAATTAAAAAAGAAGCTATGGTTCTGACGACAATACTGTGATTAACTACTCCCACTACAGGCATCAACAGTTTCTAGAAATTTAATGGGACATTATGGAGGTATATGCATTATTTAGAGGATGTAATAAAAGTAAGGAAATTCATATAGAAATTAAAAATTTACTTAAAAACATATCCCAATCCAGCAAAGGTGACAAAATTGTTTCATGGCTCCAAAATGATTCAATCCCCACAGCATATTTAGATAAATGACAACTTGTCCAAACTTGGAGCTTCTAAGTAAGTTAAAGCATGTTCAGTCTTGAATAATTATTGTCTTGAACGGTGTTCTGCAGTCTCAGAATTATTCAGAGCCTTCGTGACAAGCACCTTTATTAATTAGTGCAGCGCCCTTTTGCCGTTATGCCCTCCTGCAAATGTGATTCAAACACCTGCTTCTTGGAGGCAACCTGAGGAATCTTAGATAAACACTTATAGGCAAAAGCCTCCAGGTGAAGTAAAGCAAACAAAAATTTTTTTCTTTAAGTAGTTTTTTTCTCCTTTCCTTTTTATTTTTTTTGCATGCAAATAAGATCCAACTTTGCTTGAGCCTTTGGTTGAGCAGTGGTGTACATCCTGAAGCCTGTGTTGTACTGTGGAAACATCATACAGGGACACCTCAGGGCCTAATGCCACTGGGTCCTTACATTGGACGTCAGCAGTCTGAGGGGTACCATGACCCCAACTGCATCTCTAGGATCAGACTCTTTTTGTATCCATTCCTTACTAGTAAAGGGAAAAAAACTAACCTTTAGGGAACCTTCTTGGATCATGACAACCATTTTCTACTGTAACATACATCGACAGTCTAGTTCCACCTCAGGGACACTTAATTTAACTAATAAAGCTGCTGGGTATAACATACATTAGGCTTTCACAGCTGTGCCGTTACAAAACCTAATTAGAAGTTCTAATAATTCTGAGACAGCAGTCGTTATCTGAAGTCAGATTTAGTGTAATGTTCAATCTAAACAGTTAAGAGATTTCTTTGAAAACACCTAAACAATTTGGACCTAATTTGAAGTAGAGGGACAAAAATATACAAATATATATATATAATAATAATAATAATAATATAGGTGCAACTGTTCTATTTGGATATTTGTCATCTTTGTGGATTTAAATGAAAAGTAAACAGGGTAATACAGGAAAAGGTCATACAAATTTGCACATGTTGATGTCTGTGGTGGGTGCAGCGTTTTAGAGAGGAAACCGGAGGAAAGTAAATCACTATGCATGGTTTGCTTAGAGGGAACTGCTGCAGTCTCAGGAGTCGATGTTTAGCTTAGCATAATGGAACATTAATTTGCTGGGCCAGGATGAATGTTAACTTTGTCAGAGGGATAAACATAAGCTTGTATTGTCTTATTTTGGTTAACACTCACTATGCCAAAAACGGATGCACGCACATTCATACATGCTCAAGCCAGAGTTAAGCAGTGTATTGAAAACTGTGTTTCGCAACATTCTGAGATGTTCTTTTACATTTACTAGAGGTCAAGAGAAGAAGAGGTGGTAAGTAATGACAGGCAAACCAATGTGTGAGAGAGGATTTCCGTGCATGGGCATTACACATTCCACAGGAGGAGAAATAAGTAACCTTATTCTCAGAGGAGAAGATCTGCTTTTGGGTGATCACGGTCAATCTAACCAGACACTAGGAAGGGGAATAAGAAAAATGCGAGGAGAATCACATGAAGGCTGGAGATGACAGTTTTGTGACAGACTAGAACATCACATGATGGAAGGGTAACAGTCACTGCCTTTTCACTTTCTTTGTCTCCTTTTAGAAATACGTCCCACTTTTTCTGCTCTGTTGACAGCAAGCATGTACATTTTGTTGCCACAAAAATACAAGTTACTCAGAGCAGAATTCAGAAAGAACAGCCTTTCAGCTAGATTTTTCTGGGATAAAAGGCTTTTGTTTTATTTCATTTTTTTAATACATGACTAAATTTTGTCAAAATGAAAAAAGTGACAATTTTTAGTGAGACAAAGAGGATCGAGCAAACTGAGTCAATTCAATTTAAGAGAAAACCGAGAAAGTAAGGCAGGGGGGGGGGAGGCTGATGAAGACAAGGGAGGTGATTTTATCTCAAACATGATAGACACTGATAACCAAAGATTTACATCAATAACGATCAAAAGCCAGAATTCTCCAGCAGAACCCAGCCTTTGAGTGGCACAAGACAACCATCCATGGTGACCAATGGGAGAACCCAGTGGTTACAATGGAGGGGACATGATGGCAGATACAGTACAAAACTGCAGATCTTTTCAGAAACACACAAACTGCTTGCAGACCTCTGCATCTACAGAAAAAAAAAAAAACAATGGCAGAAAGAAACCTTAATTCCTCTATAGCTTAAAAAACCATCAGAGATTGCAAAAGAAAATAAATCAGTGTCTTGTAGAACTGATTTATTTGTAAAATGAAGAGCTAAGTGCAAGCATTTTCAGACGCTCCCAAACAAGCAGCATTAGGCATAGCATCTACGTCTTTACAGAAATCTGTAAAAGATATTCCTCTGTGCCTCTGTTTTTCTACAATTACAGAGAAAATGGTTAGCTTATATTATGCCAGCAAAAACTGAGGCTTAGCACACTCCTACAAACCAGCTTTTTGGTCTCACACACACAGAAAAATAAAGAGCTGCTAACCACACACTGATCAAACTGGCTCTGATTCAAGGTGGATAAAACCAACTGATGACTAAAATCAATAGTCCAATTGAGTTTTATCTGTGAAATTTTGCAGCAGGCAAAACAATGTCTAAGCAATAAACAAAGCTATTTGCCGAAAGGGATTAATTCATTTAAAACTGAGATAATTACTTGTAATTATACAACTATTTCTTTTTTGTTTCTGTTAAGATGCTATTAAAGTTTTTAATTTTCTTTTTTGGGGGAGAGGGTTGTGGGTTGCGCTTCAGGACTTTTTGATGAACTTTGATGAGCATCAACCCTATACATATACATAAACCTGCTACTTTTTCTGCTCACAACCCATTTGATGTGAACATAGTACCAGTATTAGGCTTCCTCTATAGGAGGCAGAGAAGGTGACTGGGGAGGGGAGAGTCTGGGTGTCTCTGCTGAGACTACTGACCACTGCAACTAGATTCCAACTTAGCAAGATGATGTAAGTTTTATAAGCTGAGCTTTATAAAGCTGTGCTTTAAAATTGTCCATGTCCATTCAAATGAAAGGCAAGACAAGATTTCAGTTGGGAGCATAAGAGTAAAGATAAGTGAAAACACAGGCACTCCAAAGTTCTGTAATTGTTTTTCTGTAATTGTTTTTTTTTTTTTTTTGATAACCAGCGACTGTTTCACTACAACATAACTTAAATCTAAAACCACAGTAAAAGATGTACACCTTTGTCAATGTTACATGAAAAAGTTCAACTACTGAGAATACTTTGTAAAGACACTACATCAAGGTAGACTGCTCTCATGAATCAGAACCAGACTCTGAAATTGTTAAATGGGGTTATAGGGGAAAATCAGTTGCCATCAGTAACACTAAGATTTATTTGGGTCCAAGTATCAAACTTTACCTCCAACAGCTAGGGCATGCAAACAAAAACAAAAGAGAAAAATAATAATGATGCGTTAGTGCACTAAAAACAAATCCTTTCAAAAGTCTTCACACATCTACAATACATACAACCCAGCTGAAGAAGAGGGCACCTACTCTTCAAACTGCTGAAAGAGAATGTTTACATGTATACAAGACTGTGGTCAAGTCACAATAAAAGGAGAAAATACATTAAAAAATAATAAAAATCACTTGTGTCACACTGGGGTCACTTATTTCCGGCTGCCACAGGGCAGTTCAGTTAAATGTAAATACAAATCAGAAAACCAGCATTGATTACCTGTTTTAAATGTTTCTTAAGCTCGCCTGCTTCAGGCTCTGGCAGAGGGGGAAGATTCTCTGCATTGGTAGGCACTATAACCTGCAACCAACACAAGTGTAAATTAGATACAAATGAAATTTACTTCCAAAAGAAATAGACATCAGATCTCTATGTCCGTATTTCTCCAACCAAATGGAAAGTTTTCATTATTAAATGTACATTATTCCACAGCAAGGATTTTGAGATGAAAGTAATTCTGGATAAATGCTAAGCCCTCCTTTATTTTAGGCACAGCCTTGGATCAACCAAGGCACATGTGTAAATCCTGATGTTGGCAAACAAACCTTGCTGCTGTCGAGGTCGACCAGCCAAACATCATCTGGCATTTTGAAATCCGACTTATAGAGGAAGAAGCTGGCTGGAACACCGATAATGTAGGGAGTGGGAGCGAGAAGGAGCTGTGAGGAGGAGAAAGCAGACCAGTGTGTACATAAAAGTTGATGTTCCAACAACAGATGGTGTTTACAGCTAGAAATAACAAGTGTGGGAAATGTTTGAAGTTACACAAAAATATGAACTGCCTATTTAACATCGATAAGCCTCAGTTCCACACTTACCTGCTCAGCAGAAGCCATACATGTAGGCAACAATGGGATGACAGGGAACATGTACTCCAGGGGGTAGATCATAGCCACAAAGGCCATCACACTCATGGACAAAGCATTGTAATCTCGAGATTGAAGAATGACCTTAAAAGGTAAAGATTGGAAACAAATAAAAAAGAAATGAAGAGAACCAATATCAATGGATCCCATTTTGAATATCGAATACTTGATCGTTATGATGTCTGAGCTTTCTAAGTAAAAAATTATGTGGTCGGTCTTCTAATAATTTCATTATCTTTTATCCCTTGTTGTAAAACTTCAATGCAAGAACAGCCCTTTTGTCTTGAGTTTGTTAACAGCATTATTAAAAGATGATTTTCAAGAACAGATGAAGGTTGGAGAACAAAAAGCTCAAAAGAGACATCAGCCTGACAGCTTTATGCTTTTAATTAGTTCAGCCCGACTGAATGACAAAATTGTCTAAAACAGATGAAAATAAGAAAACCTTCAACAGGCTCCTACTCGATTAATTTTTACAAAGATCTTCTAGTTTAGTGCATTATTACAACTTTAAAGCATGCAAACAAAACAAAAATATGTGGACTCCCAGCTATCACCCAATGTAATTATTTATTTCATAACTACAATGACAATGGAGAACAGAAGGAACAGTTTTTCAGCATTTTTCAACACCTAAATTAATCACTTGGCACACAGGCCAAGTACTGACCTGCTTTACAGAGACTGAAACACTCAGGCTATATTTCATTTTTCTTTGATTTTTAAGAAGACTTTTGGCTGCTTCTTGCAAACAGACAAGAGCTGCCTTCTTTGCAACAGTGGGGATGTTTAAAAACACTCAGATTTATACTTTTCTTTTTTTTTTTCTTTTTTTTTTTTAGGTGGAATATGTTTCTAATGGCAAACTAGTGTGTTTACTTAAGGCATGTCTGCTTGTCTGAAAGAGCCCCACAACAAGTTTTTTTGGGGGAGGGGTACTCTGAAGTCCTCTGTGCACCTTTATGTAAATAGACAGAGGCACATAATGCACAAATGTATACGGATTGTTTTGACAACTGTGGTGCAGGTTTTTCCATAATGCAGAGTGAAATTTAAAATTGTCCTTTTTTTCAATTTTTATTTTAATAATACATCCTATTGTGCATCTGTATAAATAAACGTATGCCAAGATAATTAGTCAGATTGCTATAAAAATGGCAAATGGGCATAAAAGGTGGGATAGCCCAGGAACTGCAAAGACTTGTGTATCTTTGGTCTGAGGATGCTTAAAAGGAGCCAAGGCATCTGTGCACAGCAGAACAAAAGTAAGAATACACAAGAAAAATGACCAAGGATTCTGATTAAATTTAAGTCAATATCTCAAGGGGTGAAAAATAGCAGATGGCAGAATGAGACTCTTTTCTCTGTGTCCAAAGCTGTGATTTTCTCCTCCTCTGCAAATGGCTTCAGAAAATAAAAACTGAATCTGAAAAATGTGACTCATTTTGGCAGATTTTAAAGGAGAAAGAGGGAATTTAGCTTCCAAGTCAATTCAAATACGAAAATGTTTTTTTTAGTGGTCTTGTTATAAATGAGCTCAGTCTGACAGCTCAACTGTGACTAACTGGCATTTCTAATCGCCAAGCACAGCAGGATATCAGGGGACTGGTGTAAAAAAGTATGACAGCACATCTCACCAAACACTAATTGTTTAAAAAAGAAACCAAGTGGGTTAAACTCCTTCACATTTAAGAATTAATATGATTATTGATTCAATCAAGTTACCTTTTCAACAAATCATAAAATACTGTGGTCTGCATGCTGTGAACTTACAAAACTTGCTCATTCCTTAGAATAAAATGTCCTGGGCTTATATTCAAAAATGTGATGCATGGCTATAAGATAGTTATCATGACAGCTAATCTAGATGTAAAGACAAGCCTTAGGTATGGCTAGTCTTTCATTTGAACTCCTGACCTGTTTCCATGTTTACCTTGTGCTCCAACAGGACACAGCTGAGGACCTGAAGACAAGCATCAACACCCAGCAGCTCCAAGGGCAAGTGCAGTGGGAAATCAACCAAGGAGAAACGAGAGTTGTCAGGCAAGGCGAATGTCAGCGGCCGTTTCAGTTCTTGGGGCAGCACCTCCACATCCACACGCCGTTGACCTGCCAATGGAACCGGGGAGCGCAGCAGCCGGTACACCCATGACTCGATGTCCCGTAGGTCAGCCAACAGCTGGCTACCTTTCTCTTCCACAGAGAGCGCTCCGGTAAACACCCTCCACATGGTGTCCCTGCATAGATACACACACAAATTAAACATCTAACACCTATAAATCTTTGAATTTAAATGTTGGTTAATCCTTTAACTGTTAATGTCAACATGTCTCTATGTTGCAAAATTTAATGAAGCTATATGAATGTTGGCGCAAGAGCTGCACTTAATTACAAAATAGTCAAACTGCATGGCTAAAACAGTCAAGCCGTTTAGTGTGAATAGTTAAAAAAAAGATGAAAGTTTTTTTGTTTTTTTTTCTAAGAAAATACAAAGCTTGTGTAATGTAAGCTTATTCTAAGATGCCAGATATGGTTTATCTTCAACAATAAAATACAATTATTCAACAGCACTTAAGTATCTAATTGACGTGTGAAATAGGTAGAGTTTGGCTGGGAAAATCTGACGGTTAGTTTGATGATGAGATCCTAAAGTGGATGGAACAATGGCTCATTTCTCTGCTTCAGACCGGTATCAAGCGGCATTTAAATCCCTTATCTGAAGGCCAAATGACACAGAGGCTCTTCAGTAATCACCAAAATATTGATTTCAAAATGCTCTACTTACACATTTAAGACCATTATGGGTCTTTAAGTGTATATCTGGCACTGTGTGGGTGAGAGGGAGTGAGGGGATACATTTGTCCTTCAGAGCCCTCCCACCTCAAAGCTGCTACCTAAAGGCAGCTGGAGACCTCAATCTGTCAGAGCTACCATAGTGAGAAATGCTCCAAGCCATTATACAATGACTCTCCTCTTTCTCTGTCACTGCAACATAACATTATAACTGGAGGAGCAAGAGAAAATAAAGAGCAACAAAAAAACTGCCTAGGCCAGTAATGTCTTTGGCTTTAATGCGCTGCTTGATGTTTTGAGATCATCATTTTAGACTGTTAATTAGTGGATAATCTCACTGAAAGGAAAAAGAATGTGGTGTGTAAAAAGAAAATTAGTAGACTAGAAGACACATTTTATTTACCAGCAATACATACAAGAAATAGGACTACTTGTTGCCTTTTATGCTTTGAACTAATATTAGTTGCACTACACTGGGTTGCATCACAGTGGGCTGCCATTGTGCGGCTCCTGGGGAGCAGTGTGGGGTTAAGGGTTTTACCAAAGAACCAAAAGTGGAGGCCGTGGGGATCGAACCGGGTACTTGCAACCATCTCAGAGCACAAGCAAACTGCTCTAACCACTAGGCCAAAACTATACTAGTAAGAATTAGGTTCTATACATCTAAAAATGTTTAAACATTTTAAGTGGCCCTTTTGACATTTATCAGCTTGACTGAATATGTATTCATGATATCTGAAATACATTTCTTCATACTCAAAATAATACAAATGCTGAGCAGTGATATTAGGAATATGGAAATCTGAAATTAATTTTTAGACATCCAGAATGTTTATGCTAGATGTGGAGATTTACATTTTGTTTGAATTGGTCATTTAGACAAAGAAAACATTTATTTTTCCAGATATCAGGAATACATATCCAGTAAAACTAGTACATGTCACAATGGCTTGCCATAGACTGTTATTACAAGCATGATATTACAGGATCATTTCTTAAATGGTTGTAGATCAATGTATCTATTTAGGTGAAATGAAGTCTAAAAACACTGTTCTAATATATACAACCTGTGCATCATCTCATGGGTCTCTCCTCATGTTAAATTGGTCTTTTTTTACACAGTAAATACTAAGTGGCTGTTTGCAGCTGTGCTTTGGATGTTATCCCAATAAATGGTTGTTATTAGCAGCTCTAAAGCCCATAGAATGCCTTCAGAATGTGCCAGTAGGCCTATTAGGCTTTTATGATTGAGTGAATCGTAATCCTAACCCTAAAATAATTCCTTTTCCCCCACAGAATTAATGAATCTATTTAAGTGTAATCTGAAAATTATTTCAATAGTTCTTCATGTACTGCAAATAGAACTAAATAAAAATAAAATGATCAGCATCTCGCTCATATTAAACAAACCAAAAACAAGTATTCTCATGCCCGGTCAACTGAGTTGTAGAATTCTCTGCTTATAAATATTTAGTTCTCTGTGAAAAAGTGCTGATCATTCTTTAATAAGACCCTTGTCAAACGGACATTTATGTTTGCTTTTAAAACCCAATGTTTGTAACGGACCAACAGTAATGAATGATATAAATATATTTTTCATGCACAAAAATACAACAAAAATCTGACTAAATCAGGAAGTAAAACAACATAATTGACTGTAAGGAGAGCAGAGACAGAGGACATGTATTAAATATGAAGATTCAAAAAGGATAGACTTAAAACTTTCCTTTATGATAAAGCTTATAGTTAGAGTGGCTCAGGTTATCCTGAGCTATCTCTATAGTTATGCTGCTATAGGCTTAGACTTCTGGAGGATATAGGGACCCCTATTTCATTATTTTGCTTCATTCTATCTCTATTGTTCCACTGCAGAATCTGTAGTTTAATCACTAACATTGTGCTCTCTCTGCTTTTTCCTCATAGTAGCTTCGCTTCGTCTGTTCCTGTTAGGCTGTGACGCCATCCTGGAGAGAAATATCAGCGGTGCTGCTGCCATCAACATCTTTGTTTATAGATGTTGGGAGATTTGCCTGTTTTTCCAGTGTAGTCCTGTTTCTCTGACTGCAAAGGTTGGATGTTCTCTCTTCTCCCTCCGGCATGGGAGTTGGCTCGGAGCTCGTCTGCCTAGCTGTGTTTTCTGGACGGGGCCGCCTTTTACAGTTGCTTTTTGTATCTCTGCTTCTGTCTCTTTGAACCCCAGTCAGCACACTGAGCCTGGTTCTACTGGAAGTTTCTTCCTGTTAAAAGGGAGTTTTTCCTCTCCACTGTTGCTACAAGCATGCTTAGTGTGAGGGATTGCATCCGAGTCAATGCAATCAACTAGTTTTCCTTAGATGGAAAACTAGTTTAATCAATTTGACTATATGATTTGGTAAACTGTAAAGTGCTTTGAGATGACATGTGTTGTGAATTGGCACTACATAAGCAAAATGAACTGAATTTAATTGTGGATCTGTTTGTATTTTTCTTAAACATCTCAAAAAAAAAGGAGACAAAATGCAGATATTCAAAAAAATATGGTTAACTGTAACCTAAACCTGTCCAAACTGATTGAGTAACACATCATGGGAGATAAAAGAAAAAGCAAAGGCTTCTTTATTAAATATATTTAACATACAGATCACGTTTGGATGAAGATGGGAGATGGAAGAATGAAGATGCAGCAATTAATCTGTCAGATATTAGAATCAGATTATCTAAGTGACAAGGCTATTTTTTGTTATTCATCACAAACTGTCTGAAAATCCATGCACTTTTTTAAATATGTAATATTCTTCCATGCAAACACTAGCATTGCATTATAATTTCCTTTTTGTTTGATCCAAAATTATGACCTATGTAAAAGAAGCTGCATCAAATATGTTAGACAGTCAGATGTAATGAGGAATAAGAGCGGTCAAGAAAAGCCTGATCAGTGCAGCTCTAATGGGTAGAAAAAGAACGACAGCTTGTGAAGTGTTGAAAATAGCACAACCAAAGAAAAAAGATACTTATTAAGACCAAAGGTGGGTATCTTAGGTTTGTGGGGTTTGGTTTTTTAGTAGTACTGTTGATATTTTAAACAGGTGCTTGTCAAAAGAAGTGCTGTCAACAAAATCTTTGTCCTAAAGACGTTAAGATGTATCGGTGAACACAGTTTTAATGGTAGATTGTGGAAAGGACTAACAACAAAAAAAAAATAAAAGCTATTTAGTCAGTAAAAAGCCTATTATAACAGAAATCTTGTTATCTACTCGTACAAAAACATGACCAAGCGACTCTGGCTAATCTAAGAGCTGATAAATAAAAAAATGTTAAGACCTCAAAAGAATAAGAATAAAAAAACAAAACTGTAAAGACATATACGTTAGGCCTCACCTTTGGGTAGCACGAGAGAGTCCAGCTCGCTGAGTTAGCCTCTGACTACAGCAGTCCACCAGCCTCTTCAGAATATACAGGCATTCTCTGAATGTGGTAAAGAAAGGGTAGTGGCTGACGATGCACAGCGACGTCAGCGTGCTGTTGCGGTTCCTTGCAGCCACTTTAGCAGCGCTGCGTTTGTGCTGCGGAGACTTGCCAGAGGTTTGCTCTGCACCTGGCTGCCCGTCCTCTTCTGGACGAGGTGGAGGTTTAGACTTGGAGCTGTCAGGTGCGGCTGATGCAGCAGTCTGGCCTCCACCGCTGCCATCAGACGCTTCGTTAACAGTCTCGGTTGCCTGTGCTGCAGTTTCTGTGTGGCTACTCTTATCTCTGGGACGGTGATGTCCACGCTGGAAGGACCGATAGAAGTTGACGCAGATTCCATACCGGGTAATACCAGAGTCCTTGTCGGTCAGCGTGAAAACAAATGAGGAGTCATCACGCAGGCTAACACGGCGCTGGCGTATACTGAGGCAGCCTTCTGGTTGGCAGAAGAAAACCACATCAGGAGCGAGCGGGAAGTCGTGGTGATCCTCCAGGGGGTAGCGTCGGAGGAGCTGTGGAGTCTGGGCCACACTGTCACTACTTGGTTGCCTGAGGAGAAAATACATAAACATGTTGATTCCTACATGTTTAACAATTCTGTATTTCTCCTGTTTGATAAGTTCTTTATCATCAATTTGCAAACAATTTTCTCTAAAGCAGTAAATTTCTATATTACATTGACGGTAGAATTGCACCGGTCAATTCACGTGATCGGCAACCGGCCGGTCATCGTGAAGACAACGAATTTTACGCACTGTTTGTTTTGTATTGTTGATGGGTTTTTCTTCGAATGGACACATTTTTCTCCTGCACTTTGTCCATGTTTTTTTTAGTCAGTGTCCATAACAGGGGAATGAATGACCTAAACAACACAGGGAAGTGGATACCGCATTTTGGGCTCAGAACAGTAGCAGCGGGGTAGCAGTGTGACACCACTGGGACAGAGAGTAACATAACCAGGATGAGGGGTCCCGTTTTACCCCCATCATGGAGCCAACGAACCACCGCGGTAAATTGCAGGAGCCAACCGGGCAGACAGTGCTCCAGAGAGAGGAGATAAGGAAGCTCAACAGTAGAGCAGAGGAGCACAGTGGTATATCAGAGAAGCGACAGGAAAAAAGCTCTAGAAAAAAGAACACTCAGAGTGGGAAAGAGGCTACTGCTGCCTGGGAGTAGGACCGCAGTACGTTGGAGAAGCAAGCCAGGAAGCATTCCCACGTCATCGTCTTTTTCAACATTATTTTCTCTATCTTCCATTTTAATAAAAAATGCTGCTGCCTCCTCCAATAAAACAGTGGTCAGTTCAGTTATTTTTCTTCTCCCTTATAATTTTGATACCTAATAATACAATGTCAACGTACATGAGACAGTATCTGAAGAATTTATGGATTTGATGCCGTGATCGGTGATGGGCAACTGGATCCCAAAATCCTGACCAATGCATATCTAATTGATGGGTTATGTTTCTACTGTAAAATATTGATTTTCACATTATGATACCCAAAACATACACACATATACATTATATATATATATATATATATATATATATATATATATATATACACACATATATATATACACACATATATATATACACACATACATATATATTTTAGGGGTGGAACGGTTCACAAAATCCACGGTTCGGTTCGATTCACGGTTTCATGGTCACGGTTTTCGGTTCGATTTGGTATATGTTGATTGTTACACCGAAATCCCATAAAAATTTATAAAATTAATGAAAAAATCCCCCAAAAAATAATGGATTGTAATTATTTTAAATGATCTGCGGAAACCCTGGATCATTTCCGTATGTTTTGCTGCTTTGAATTTAATCATCTCGCGCATGCTTTGCTTTGAGCAGCCGGTCTGGAGCGCGGAGTTGGGGGAGAATGAGGCGGAGCGGGGGTTGCTGACGGAGTATGAGGGATTTCGGTGTTAGCATGACATGTTGGCCATGTTGCTGTTAGCATAAACAAAACGTGTTGCCCAATGCTTGCACACTGTTGCACTTTTATCCACAACTTTCTTTCCGCCGTCATCGTAGGTCGCTCTAAATGCAAAGTGGTCCCATACAGCAGACCTATAAAGTGCTGCTGGCGCGTCTTCCAACTCCTGTTCTTTCCCACTCGACACAATTCTCCACAACAACTGATTTTTTTCCCTGCTACACCCGGCTAAGCTGCTTCGCTTCTTCTTCTTCTTGTTTACTACTGGTGGTTGGCTTTGGTCGCAGTACCGCCACCTTCTGCTCTGGAGTGTAAACGCTTCGCCTATGAGAAAAAGGAGCAGCGCATGACCCGAACGAAACACACGCGAATCGAACCGAGACAGTCGAACCGAACAGTTCGAACGGTTTTCATAAATCGTCCCACTCCTAATATATATAAATATATATATATATATATATATATTTATTAGGGATGCACGATATAATCGGCCCCCTATCGGTATCGGCCTTAAAACTGAATATCGGACATCGGCCACCCCGCCAATATTTAACCCGATATTTGATCAGCTTCCGAGTTTCTAAAGTCTAAAAAAAAAATAAAAAATACTACTTCTTCTTCCTCAAAAACGTCCTTTTTACAGACTTAAAACTTCTAAAGACGAGGGAAAAAATATTGATACATTAAAATATCACAATATCTTCATATGCTGATATATTGCCATTTAAAAACAATATATCAATCTCTTTTACTAATGAAATATTGCTATATGTCATCGTTATGCTACGAAATCCCTCGAAAATTCATGAAATTTTGCCATATTTTTATATGTTGATATATTGAAGCGGTATCGATCTATTTTACTAACAAAATCTCACAAGAATTTGCAAAATATCACGAGAGTTTGTAACAGAACGATGAAATTTCACAAGATTTTGAAAGTAAAATAGATCGATACCGCGTTTTTAAAAATCAATTTGATATCAGCATATGAAAATATATTTGAGTATATTATTTTTTAAAGTGTCAGAAATGGATAACAAAACTGCTATTTTCAATGACTATTTATTTGTGTCCAGCTTTAACATCGGTATCGATATCAGTTATCGGCTACATGAGTTTTAAAATATCGGCATATCGGATATCGGCTAAAATGCCAATATCGTGCATCCCTAATATATATATATGAACCACAAAATATAACATTTCAAATATTTACCTGCAGCACAGGTTTGAATACAAATTCGGAGATGGACAAATGGTAGGGCTATTGTACAACTATTAAATCAATTTGAATTTCAATGTTTTGAAACTTATTGCTATTAAAGAAACAGACATCATCTTAAAACAGAAGTAAAATAATCCTTAGGTCAAAAAAGATAAGGTTACTGTCTTACATAGTTTTTGAACAGCTATGACAGGTTAAAAACAAAAGAGCAGTGGGTAAAATCTTGAACTGCAATGTGGAAAAACAAAAACCTTATTATTTTCAAAAAAAAGCCAAAAAAAATAAATAAATACAAGGCAATACCCCACCAGTACCTAATTTTTATTTAACTGCAAAATGTTTTTTTTTTCTTTTTTTTCTTCTTCCTTTATTTATATTCACACATAAAACAAGCTCTAAGTGCGCTCTATATTATAACTGAAGTTAACTTTGCAGAGCTGTGTTTGTGTGGGACTTGCATTTTGCAGCACCTTCTCCTATGATTCATTTAAGGATACACTTAAGAAAATCATTGATTCCATTCAGCATCTGCACTTACCTTGCTCCAACAACCACTAAGTAGTCAAGAAGACGTGGGCACGATTTCTTTTTCTCCATTTTGGGATGTCAAGGCATCCAGGATATGCGTTTCCTTCTGGGTCAGTAGTGTATTTTGATCAGAGCATTTTTGCAGATCAATTTCAGGTCCTCTATAATCATCATGGCCATTCGCTTGAGACAAATCTGTAAAACACAGGAAAATATGCAATTTATGCATTTAAAAGTGAAAGGACAATTTTTTTTAAAAGAGAAGGACATAAAAAAAAATCCACAGGTTATTCTAATTGGCCAAGTTTCAGCTTAAAAAGCCCTTACTGGTGACTGATCAGAGTCCTATATTGGATCCAGATGTAAAAAATGTTTTTAGAGATGCTAGAAGCACTTAAGCAGTGATCCTATTTGGAATTTATAGCCAAAAATCTATGATCAGTGAACCAAAACTCTCAAATAACCTAGAATTCATTTTTCATCTAACAGTTGAAAAAAAAACTGAAATGGAAGCATCTAAATCAGGGATGCTCAAGTCCATTCCTCAAGACCTACTATCCTGCAACTTTTTGATGCAACCATTTTTAACACACCTGAATCAAATGAGTGGCTCGTTACCATGCCTCTGTTGGGCTAAATGAGGTTAGATTCAGGTGTGCTAGAGAAGAGATGCATCTAAAAGTTACAGGATGGTAGCTCTTGAGGAATGGACTTGGGCACCCCTGATCTAAATTGTATTTGCAATATAATCAAAATTCAAATAAATCCAACTTTCAAATTGCACAAGTGCACGATTTTTAGTCAGAAGACATTTAACAAGTGTAAGACACTAAACTACTCTCTCCAGCTCTGTAGATGGCGGTAATACATTAAAGTGGGTATGCTGTTGCACCGAAGGGAACAGTGAGTTGCAGCTAGCACATAGATCTATGCATCACAGCAGAAGTAAGAATTTAAAGCCCTGCAACACTGGATTTTGGACAAGCAGGCCCTCAAGGAACAACTGAAACCCTGGAATAAAGTTGGTTGTACTCAGTGCAAAAAATCGCAATATGGGGTGAAAATAATCGTAATTTTGATTTTTAGCTAAATCATTTAGCCCTTCTATATATTTGGGCTGCAACTAATTATAATTTTGCAAATAAATTAATTTGCTGATCTTTCAATTAATCGATTAATAATCGGTTAGCTAAAGGTTCCTTAAAGAAGTTCTTTTTACAAAATTAAACCAGGTGAAACTAAAACTTTTCCAACAGAAGAGTTCTGGATAGAGCATACAGATAGATGCATTTTTTTTTATTTTAAATGCAAATTTTTTTTTATATATTTTTAAAATTTTTGATCTAAATACTGCTCTATGTGGGTCACTTTGTCAGGCTAGAGTCTTTTTTTATCATTTGAAACAAGAGCTGGTGGATAGAAGGCAGACTTGCAATTTTAACTCTAACTCTATATAAAACATAACCTTTATAAAGAGGTCAGCTTTACCACCAACTTTGCTTTGCCTAGCAGGGAGTACTTAAGCGGCTAAATCCTATCCTTTGCATACATCCCCAATTCCCAACCCAAAAAATATCCCCAGAGTAACCCAGTGATTTGTCACCATTTTACCAAACTTTAAACCAAAGAAAGACATTAGATTGTCTGAAGGTTCCCTTTTTGTGTTCAAACACGAATACAGCTTTTCATTCAACAACACCACAGCGCTATCCTGCCTTACATTTCCCTTCACAGGAAATTAAAAAACACAATGCGCATGACAACATTGATCGAATCAATCTTTACTGATCAAGGAACATGAATCAGAAAGAGAAACTGCAAGAAATCTGTTTCAGCTTAGTTTGTTTTTCAACAATAACCCTATAATAATTATTCAACTCAGAAATTAACTTCAAATTCATAGTCATTATTTACAGCTAAGCATTTTAGAGTAACTTTTTTCGCTATTGTGTCAGCTGGTTGTTGTTAAAGGATAAAAAGAGGCTTGCTGATGTAGTAAGCAGCTTACAGGCTGTGGTAGAGTGTGAACCATTGAGAGCATGCACTATGGCCCTTAAAGCCCTGTGACTTACAGGTAACAGTTCTAACTCAACCAACTCCAAAACATGGACTTACCAACATTAAGTTGTTCTCTTTTGCCTTAAAGACAAAAGCTCAACTGAACCAATTTATTATTTCAGAAAAAAAGGTTTTAAAACTGCTACTTTATTTCTGTTATGCATATCAACAACAGCCAGAGAGCTTTATCTGCAGAATCTCTTTCCAAAGGTGCCTTTCTTGGAGCCTTGCCGTACCAAATACTCTCTACACCAAAATAATTAGACAAATATCAGCAATGAAAAGAAAAAAAAAAATCTTTTCTCTGATGTTTTTAAATATATTTTCATTAGAACAAGAGCCTTCTTTCAGCCAGCTGAGCTGTAGTAAACAACAACATGTGGGTCAGGATTGCCTTAATCTTTGCTTTAAGCAGCCCGAAGAAACACCAGGCTTTCTCTTTTCTGGTGTCTGGTAAAGAATGTCAAACCAAAGATGCTGCACAGCAGAACCATTAAAATATTGGTATACTTTTGTAAGACTAACTGCTTTAATACTACAATCCCAAACTAATGGGAAGAAAATATCTTTAAATCCTCTCCCATTGCACTAACAGCAACATATATGTGAAGAATCAACTCTCAGGTAACATGATCTTTTTGTTGCCATGGTGAATACTTTAGTGCAACAACAGCAAACACCTCAACACTATTCTGCAGAAACTTCACCCTTAAATGCAAACAGTAAAGCTGAAGAACATGTTTACTTGATGTTTCTACGCACTGATAAGTTTAAGAAGCTATTCAAGGAGCTATTGCTTTAGAAAACATTTTTTAGCTCACCAAGCAAGAGACATTTCATGTTTTTGGACATGAAACACCAGTGTGAAACATTCACCGTCAGTAGCTGGAATGTAACCATGTCCTTATCGGCACCAAGCGTCCTGCTAACTAACTAGAAAAAAAATGTATGCTTTTAATTAGACTATTTCAACAATTTTAAAACATGCCAGAGCTATGTCAGACCTTAATATCGATTAGGAGTATTTTCTGGCCGCATCACTGCTGCATAGGTACGGAAGACAGTTTTGGGATGTCTTTTGATCGCTGAAATAGCCATTTGGCAGCAATGTCATGAGTCAGATTGGAAGACCGTGTAAGAGGCACTTTCAGTAAGTAAATCACATCTGCTTTGAGGAAAATACAAAATAAAATATGTGAATCACAAGGTAAAACATTTAAATTGCTGACATTTGTAAACACACACTGTGTTTTTAAAGCAAGCAGGACGGACTTGGACAAACATCTATAATAAAGCATTTAAATAAACATGGTTGGAGCTCAGCACAGAAAAAAATAGAACGTGAAGAGACTCTCCTTAAGCTTCAAGAAAAGTAAACATAGGATGCCTATGGGGAACAACGTGGGTTACCCACTCCACTCTGATTGAAACAGAAGAATAGCTCCAGCAAACTCCATAGACAGCCCTTTGAAAAACACTTTTTTACTTGCCTCATCCAGTAGGACTGCAGTTTCTCTTCTTTAAATGTAGTTTCCATGATATTTTGTGTTATAAAATCCTGTATCTGTTTCGTTTTATTTTAAAAACATTATATGTAGGTTGGTTGTGACGTGGGGCACTGCTTCTACTTTGAATGACAGAACTGCAGCTCTGTTTTCTTTATATTTGAGTAAGATGGCTGTCAAATGATGTCCTTTTTTTTTCTTTTTAGAATTAGACCCAGTGAAATGTTTCAACTTGTAGGTAGGGGAGTGGCTGTCTAGTGGTTAGGGCATAAAGCTTGGTATCCTGAGGTTGAGTTTGAGCCCCACTCCGACAGAGTGCCACTCTGAGTCTCAGAGCAACTGGGTCCCAGACCCTTAACCCCACACTGCTCCACGGGTGCCGCACAACGACAGCCCACTGCTCCACAAGGGGATGGCTGAAATGCAGAGAGTGAATTTCGTTGCTCTGTACTTGTGACAGTTTAATAACAACAAATTGGGACATCTGCTCACCCTATGCATAGCGGGAGCCTCCCTGCGCACTGCAGCCTGTCTGACAGAAACAAAACAATCTCATCTGAGATTGCAGGGTCAGACACAAGCTGGCAGACCCAGCCGTTACATTGTGCTTGAGATCAAGAGGTTCATCAGCATGCTGCAGTGGAGCCAGGGTTTGTTTGTGTCCGCTCAGCTGCTGCCTCATTCAGGGGTCGCCGCATTGAGTCACTATGACTTGCTTGCAGACTTGGCAAAGTTTTAAGCTGGATATCCTTTTAGAGATCAACTGATACTGTTTTTTTTTTTTTTTTTTTTAGGCAAAGGCTGACACCGATTATTTTGACATAAGTCTAAATAATGCCTGATACGAGTGGATATTATTATTCCCCCCCCCCCCCCCCCCCTTTTACATGATAAAATGTCTAAATGAAAACAAATTTAGCAAAGGTCTCAATTGAAATAAAAAGACACATTTATTTAAAATATAAATATATTTAAAAACAATTCGCTAATAAAAAGGAGAAGCAAGAAATGCTGAAATACTTGATATCATGCCTGCAGAATGCACCAATTAATCAGCAAACACATGCACATATCAGCAACTATTGATACAAAGAAAACAAGACACTAATATCACAACAAAATATCAACCAGCCAATTTATTGGTCCATCTCTATAACCTTCTTAACACAGTCATTAAAACGTGAGTCTCCGGCATTCAGCCTAACAACTAAATTATGAGGCGCTGAGGTTCTTCATGCCATCCTGTTACAATGAACCAACTGTGCCACAAACTGAAAAAGACACTAACAGAATGGTCGCCAGAGCCTGCACCAAAACGACCAGAATGACAGTAACATGTGATGCATGGGCATCAAGAGCAATCCAGTCTTCTGTGGCATTAACTGCTCACTACATACCTGTGACCTGTCTGCTTGAATCCAGTGTTTTACAATCTCACATGATGCAAGAAAGCCACACAGCTGCAAATCTCAATGCCATATTTCCCTCCACCACTAAGGAATTGAAGCAGCCCGTCACAGATCTGGTGATTATGACTGATAATACTGCCAACATGCTCGCCACTTCACAAACCGACTATTTGGCATTTGAAAAAATAAAATAAATTGATTTGGATTGGATTCTGGCCCCAAA